TGCTGGCAATGAGCACCCCTACCCTGAGAACTGCTTGGCCTTTGCCAACTTACTCTGCTACATCAGGAGCCCCATACGTCGGCTTCAAGGTGATCGTCTTGGCTTTCTGGGAAAGGATACAGTAATGGATCTGGTTGCCGACTGGGACCGAATTTCCCAGGAGGGACGGCTCAGCGAGCCCTCATTTGACAGGGAGCCGCTGGACAGAGCACAATCTCGGGAGCGGTGGCATATACAGGCCCCCGGGACCAAGCAGAAAACAGCACTTCTCCAATGGGTCAGTGGCTGTCAGGCTAGCCCAAGTCATCAGTCGGACCAGCAGCCCCTTCTCACCTGCAGCCCAGTGAGAACATTTCTGAAGACGGCATGTGCAGCGAGATGGTACAATCCCTGCTCCTCCTCCAGTGTATCCTCCAGAGCCACTATCAAAGCACGCAGCTGGAGGAAGGGGGAGGCCAGAGACAAGGTTGGAGGATTGATTGGGCAGCATGGCATGCACGACGCAGTGGGAGAGAGGCCGAGCCGGGCGAGGGCAGGCTGGCCCGTGGCTGGACCAGGCGAGGCTGTCCGCCTCGAGATGCGCCCCATTCTTCCATGCTTGTGCACTCCCCCTCGCCAATAATTTCAATGCGATGGGCATGCATGGGCGCTTGCACGGCCCCCCATGCACTGCATGCACAACAAGCATCAGGATGTCCCTGCCATCGACCCTCTACACACCTGGAGACTGTCCAGTGACCGAGCCTGGAGGGGCATCCCCACCGCGGCCTGGCTCGATGCCGTGAGCTTCTGCAGCACATCCTTCCTTCGAGCCATGATCTGCAGGAAAGAGTGGCACATGTGCGAGTCGTTCCCTCGTGTCCGTGGACATTAGCGCCCGATGGAGCGTCCCTTCTCTTCAGGCTGGCCCCAGCGCCACACGCTGTCAGTCGCTCTCCACGGGACAACCCCACTGTCTCTGGAGCTCCACACCGCCCGAGCTTGTCCCACATGTGAAATGGGCAGTCAAGGACAGGCTCTGCACCAGCTCACCTCCCTGAGCTTTCCCCGAGTGGCCCTGGCCACCATCAGCATCTGCTGCCCCTGCTCCGGATCCAGGCCCAGCGAGTTCTGTGGGTGGCCCATGGGGTGTGGGGGAGGTCTAGTTGGGTGCTGTGAAGGTCAAACCTGAATGGTCGCCCCTGTGGACCATGGGACAACCAACTGCCACACCTCCTCGCATGCCTGCACGGATGACAATGCACAGACCCAGGAACCTCACCACGATGTGTTCCCACTGACGGTCCCCAAGTCCTTCGAGCAGTCTCGTGATCTGTTCCAGCCGGTCACCCATGTACTGGAAGATCCTCCATTTCAGGACTCGCTGCGTGCAATGGGGTGGGGTGAGCAAGAGAGGGGTTCAAACGACGACCCTCGGCGGCCTCCAGTGGAAGTGGCCAGGTCGCATGCATGGCGCAGATTATTTCCTGTTTCCAGTCTCCCTGCAGGGCTCCACCAAACAAGCACCCTGGGCCACCTGAGCCAGGCATGCAGACCTCCATGGCAACCCCCTGCCAACAATCTCTCCCTCCCAGACCCAACACCCTCCAGCCCGCAGGCCCACCCCAACAGACACGCTCACCCCCTCCAGCATTTTCCTGCGCAGCTGGTCCTCCAGGGGCTTGCACTTCCCGCCCCGCTCCTCCAGGTCCACGATGAGCTGCTTCATGGAGGAAAGTGCATCGCCCCACCGCCGGGCCACCACCTCGCTGGGCACCTGCGAGAAGGCGCGCGCCTGCTCGGGCGGCAGGGCCATGAGTCTGTCCATGCTGGCGAGCGTGCAGCCCCCGTGCCACCCCGCCAGCTGCCCCGCGGTGAAGTGGCTCGCCGCTCGTCGCGGGCAGCCGGCGCCGGGCGGGGGTCGCGCCCTGGGCGCCCCGGGCGCCGGCGCACCCCCGCCACCCTGGCTCATGTAGGCCCTCTCCAGCGCGTCGATGAGCTCGTCCCTCACGCTCATCAGGCCAGACAGGAGGGAGTGCTGGGACGCCAGGACGGCAGCCTCGGCGCGCGCGGCCTGCAGGGAGGCCGCCACAGCGCCGGCGTGGCCCACGACCGCGCCGGCGGCCGCCTTCTTGCGGGCGCGGTAGCGTATCTGGGCCAGTCGGTTGCGCGCACGCTGACGCTCCAGCCTCTCCTCGGCATTGTACTTGGGGCGGGAGGTCTGATGATCGGAGTTTGAGGAGCCCCCTGAGGTGCCCGTGGCTGGTGCAGGGGGAGGGGCCTTGTCCACGGGACCCAGGCCGGCAGTCATTGCTATGACGGGAGCGCCGTCGGAAAAGTCAAGTTCTAGGGTGGGCGTGCAAAGGGATGTGGAGGCACTTCCTCCAGCATCGGTACTCAGGTCGAGGAGGGGAAAGCGGCTGTCCCCCTCCAGTTCAGAAGTCCACCAGGCCTGGTTCCCGGACGGAGCCGCTCCCAGTATGTCCCAGTCGCCATCTTCGTGGCATGATACATCCATGATGGACGCAGGGAGAGCCGTGTCCCGCACAGGACACTCGCTGGTACAACAAATGCGCGTCGTGGCTTTCGGGGGCGAACAGCCGGAGATCAGGGTTTGTGTCGGGGCTAATAGGGCAAGGACTGTCTCACAAGTTCTTACGTCAGCCAGTTCCAGTTCATCACGATCAAAATCTCTGCAGGGAGGGATTTGTTTCGAGCCCTGGGGAGGGCCCCGAAGATTACGTCACTGTGTGAGGGCCGGGAGTTAGGCTACAGGAGTCCCAGATCGGCCATCCCGGGACAATACTAATCGCCCAGTCAGGTGCCACTCGAGCCGACCCATGTTTAGATAAGATATAAAATTGCGAATAATTGCTTGATGGGGATCCGAGAGGCCCCCGTTCGGCGGGGGCCATTCCCGCCCCTTCGGGAGACCCCGTCGTGGCCAGTAGGGGATGCGAACGCATCGCAAGAGGCATTGTCAAATTTGTTTATATCATAGAAACGTAAGAGTGTCGATTACAGAGCGATAGAACGCCGTCACCCACACATCGGTCGTGCCCGATGGGCCCCTGGTGGCCCAGGGGCCTCCTTACGAGGGGCCAGATACCCCCCTCCTCATACATCGCCTGCCTCGTTGCTAAGCTAGTCCCTTACAAATATGGGATCCACACCAGGAGCAAGGTCATATTGACCGTCATTTGCTTGCTGAAGCAGGCCGCCGCCTTTTGCCACCCCCTCTCAAAAGATGGGAGCGGATGCGGTGTGCTTTGCACTGGAGGTGCCGCCCGTAGGGGATGGTATCAGCCGACCAAGCGGGCAACACTTGCAGATCAGCTTCCATGAGGTGCTTGTAGAGTGCTTCATGCTCCGCACGCACTCCCTTCTCCGCAATCAGGTGATCCTGGTCGCCAGCCTCTGGAGTGCTTCCTTGAGCCCTAGAACGCTCTCGGGAGGAGGCGTCAGGTTGTCCGGGATGCTCAGCAGTGGTGGAGCATCGCTGCTGCTGTCCACAGGGTGTGGGCCAGTGGTACTGTCCAGTCCTTCAGTGTCAGGCTCCTTGGATGTTGTGACCTGGTCGGGGGTGATCCAAAGTGACGGGTCTGCCACTGGCACCGGCTCCCTGCCGTGCCTCCTGCTGGTGCCGGCCTTGGATGCCACGGTGCTGCCTGTGTCAGTGCGTGGATTGTTGATTGCCTCAATGGCTTGGTGTGGGTGGGTAGGATCGGAATGACCGTGTGAGGAGGAGAAGAAGACGGGCGACAGGGAGGAGAAGAAGACGGACTGATTTGTACACATCGGGAGGGCATTCGTCACCCTCCTCTTCAACTATCGGCGCTTTGAGGGCTGCGGCTGGTACTCTGCGGGCCACTGGAGGACCAACGGCTACAGCGTCACGGTGACCCTGCGGCGGGCGAGAGGACCCCCCGACCCGGCGACCCCCCACCCCGCCGCATCGCAAGAGGCATTGTCAAATTTGTTTATATCATAGAAACGTAAGAGTGTCGATTACAGAGCGATAGAACGCCGTCACCCACACATCGGTCGTGCCCGATGGGCCCCTGGTGGCCCAGGGGCCTCCTTACGAGGGGCCAGATACCCCCCTCCTCATACATCGCCTGCCTCGTTGCTAAGCTAGTCCCTTACAAATATGGGATCCACACCAGGAGCAAGGTCATATTGACCGTCATTTGCTTGCTGAAGCAGGCCGCCGCCTTTTGCCACCCCCTCTCAAAAGATGGGAGCGGATGCGGTGTGCTTTGCACTGGAGGTGCCGCCCGTAGGGGATGGTATCAGCCGACCAAGCGGGCAACACTTGCAGATCAGCTTCCATGAGGTGCTTGTAGAGTGCTTCATGCTCCGCACGCACTCCCTTCTCCGCAATCAGGTGATCCTGGTCGCCAGCCTCTGGAGTGCTTCCTTGAGCCCTAGAACGCTCTCGGGAGGAGGCGTCAGGTTGTCCGGGATGCTCAGCAGTGGTGGAGCATCGCTGCTGCTGTCCACAGGGTGTGGGCCAGTGGTACTGTCCAGTCCTTCAGTGTCAGGCTCCTTGGATGTTGTGACCTGGTCGGGGGTGATCCAAAGTGACGGGTCTGCCACTGGCACCGGCTCCCTGCCGTGCCTCCTGCTGGTGCCGGCCTTGGATGCCACGGTGCTGCCTGTGTCAGTGCGTGGATTGTTGATTGCCTCAATGGCTTGGTGTGGGTGGGTAGGATCGGAATGACCGTGTGAGGAGGAGAAGAAGACGGGCGACAGGGAGGAGAAGAAGACGGACTGATTTGTACACATCGGGAGGGCATTCGTCACCCTCCTCTTCAACTATCGGCGCTTTGAGGGCTGCGGCTGGTACTCTGCGGGCCACTGGAGGACCAACGGCTACAGCGTCACGGTGACCCTGCGGCGGGCGAGAGGACCCCCCCGACCCGGCGACCCCCCACCCCGCCCCCCAGACGCCCCGAAGACCAGCGGCAAGCGCACCCGCGGCGGGGCGCCCCTGGGCGCCCCGCAGGGCAGGGGAATCGCCGACGAATACTACCGGTGAGTGGTCCGTGACTGTACCACTGGGGTGTGTGCTGCTAGGGATGGTTCTCCTTGCTTGTGTACATGCTGCAGTGATTGGCTGGGACGCTTGCAAGTGGTGCGGGGAAGTTGGCTGCTCCGTTTCTGGCAATGACTGTGGATGTGGTGTATACCAGCAGCGAGGTGCACCCCACCTTTCCTACCCATCCATTCCCCCACCAACCACCCGCACTTGCCTCGCTCCAACAACACACCTCACCAAACCCCACCCTCCTATACACACCTCTGCAGGCGGGACCCCCCTCCAGAGGATGCCGAGATACACCAGTACATCGGCATCGACCCGGGGCGGACCAAGATGTTCACGGCTATCGACAAACACGGTAACGCGACATCCTGCTCTTCAAAGAAGTTCCACGCCGTGTCGGGGTCCAAGCGGCGGCAGAAGACCATCGCGAAGTGGCACGCCGGGGCCCCAGACTATGTCAAGGAGCTGCACCAGTGAGTGGTGATTGGTGTGTGGAGTGTATGCAGTGACAGGCCCCTCTGGGGACCTGTGTCACGGACCCCCTGCCACTCCAAACACACCGACCTCCCTCCACAATCCCCCCTCTCTGTCTTCCCGCAGGTGCCCAACCCACAAGACAGCCAGCACCGAGGTGCTCCTGTCATGTGTCGCGTGGATCCTCTCCAACCTGCGACGGTGCCTGGCCTGGCACAGGGACGGGAAGCCGTTCCGCAAGCTCCGGCACCAGGCCTACGTCGGCAGGGAGCGGGCCATCGTGCGGCTGGCGGAGCAGTTTCGCGCCCCCGAGGCATGACCACGGTCGTGGGCGTGGGTAACTGGTCGGCCCAGGACCGGGGGGGCATCATGCGGGGGCCCCCGCCAGGGCCCTGGATCAAGTTCTTGCGGCGCCTGCGGCGTGGGTGCGTGGTGGTGGTGGTGGACGAGCACAGGTCATCAAAGCTGCGCTGCGCCTGTCACGCCACCCTGCACACCCACCAGTACGTGCGGGTCCGCCGAGGCAAGGAGAAGCTGGTGGACGTGTGAGACACCAAGCGGTGCGTCAACAAGGCCTGCAAGGTCAACGTTGTCAACCACGACGTGAACGGAGCTGCCAACATGCTCATGCTGGTCAAGCGTTTTTTCGCCCGGGAGGCCCGTCCCACGGCCTTTGGCGGGCTCCCTTGTTCGCCGCCCCCACCCCCCCTGCACCCTCTACACAAAAAACGGTTCGCCGTCCGTGGCAACCAACTGCGCCAGCCTGATTCTCGCGGACGTAGCTGTGCAACCGGCGCAAGCCCGGTATGGGTGTGGTGAGGAGAGTCGGCGTGGCCGAAATGCCTTTTACATAAAATCCCCCCCATGAGGGGTTGTCCTTGGGAGGATCCTGTGCACCTAGGACACCTCAGGTGTCAAAGCCGCTGACCATGCCATATTGCCTCGCTCGCCGTTTCTCCTCTTCAATGTAGTTTTTGGAGGAAGCTTGCTGACCTCGCTCTCGTTTTCTCTTTTCCTGCAGCGAGGGATGTGTGGGGGGTTCCGGACTCCACACAAACCTTGCCATTCAATGCTTTGCATGTCCTGGCAGGAGAATCATCAACACACATGACAGATCCTGTTAGCAGGAGGCTCCCTCTCGCTCCAAGATAACCACCTCCTCGACTGGGCTGTGTTTGCGAACTGCAAGAATGCCGTTCCCCACCAGACAACAAGCTCGCCAATCCACAGCACCCCTGCTCCCACGCCCTTACCTTCTGCTTCCAGCTCAGATTGGCTGCCTCTTTCTGCGCCTGGGCCTCAGCCCTCCTGCCAGCCTTGAGCTGCTGGGCATGCGAGACGGCGGCGCGGGCCAGCCGCGCCTCTTCATCCAGGCCGGAGGTCACGGCCTCCCTGTTACGCTCCCTCTCCTGCCCGGGCAGGTGTGTGGAGGCTGAGAGGTGTGTGGGATGCACCACTCAAGCTGCTGGTGCCGGGGGTGCCACAGCATCACCCACTGGCACCCGCAGCCGTCACACCTCCCACCTCTCGAGACTCCTGCACAGGCTCGACTCCCTTCCGATCTGCCCCCGAGGACCTGGAGGGTGGCAAAGGAGGGCAGAATACATCTACATTATGAGGAAAGCATACTTCCGAGTGCCCATTCCAGGGCCACATCTCTGTCTCACGGCATAGCCAGAGATCGCTCACCCAGCCAGAGCCCTAACACCCACCATGTCCAGTTGGGATCCGCGTCAGCTGGGGGCGGGACATAAAGCACACTGGGGCCGCCAGAGTATCCATGTTGCTGCAAGTCCTCCAGGCTGATCTTGGTGGCAGCGCTCCTTTTTGCTGCAGGCTGGGGCTCTGGCTCGGCCTCGGCCTCACTGTCGGAGGAGGATCCGCTCAGCGCCTCCAACGCATCCATGAACTTTCTGCAAGCGGGAACGTTGCAACGCGAGACATTCGATTGATAATATCAGTGCATTGCAGGTGCGCTGCACATTGACTCGCCACCAACCCAGCTCACCGGGGCGCCATGGTCGTCAGCCTGAAGCGTGTACTCTCGTCTTCAAGTCATGTATCCTCCACGCGAATGTATTACCAATCATCGATTTCAATCCTGGGAATGCAATTTCTGCGTGTGCTGATCACGACCCGCAGAGCGTCGTTCGCTCCGTTTGGACGGAAATTGGGCCTCCTGCGTTGTTCAAGCCATGCTGCGCACCTGCATGACGACCGACCTCCCTCCTTCCCTCCTTCCCTGGGCCCCCTGAACCCAGCTCTTTCGGTCCAGGTCCATCCTTACAGCACACGCTCAGGCATCCTTCTCCGCGGCGGCGGCCTCCGCGGCGCGCTTGGCGCGCACGCCGGCCATGCGCACGTTCATGCGCTCCAGGCGCAGCGTGGCGTAGGCGGTGGCGGCCTTCTGCTCGGCGGTCAGCTTGACCAGCTCCAGCTTGGGCTTGGTGTGTGTCAGGGGCAGCACGGGTCCCGTCAGCTGGGCCACGGCGGCCAGCTCCTCGGCGGAGGCCTCGCCCGCGCGGGGCTTGCCGGCGCGGCGCGGGAACAGCACCAGGTTGGCCTTGTACGCCTTCAGCCTCGCCACGTTCTCCTGCAGGCCCTCCAGGGACCGATTGCGGCGGCGGTGGTCCACGGCGATGCCCACGGTGGGGGCGAGCTTGGCGGAGATGCCGGCCTCCTGCGGAGGGAAGTGGGGGAGGGGGGGGGGGGCAATCTGTGAAAAGGACTGGGTTGGCCATGTGGGGCATTCGAGCGCGCAGGCTTAAAACCACAGCCCGCGGGACGCATTGCACTGCCCTGGCAGCCGGAACGTTTGACCCTTGCCGGTGAGGGCCCCAGCACAGCCTTGCTGAGGTCACCCAGGTGGCGGGCTGGGGTCCTGTCCCAGCCCCGGAGCTATGATCAAACGCACCTTCAGCTCCTCGAGGGTGAAGCCACGGCCGGTGCGCTTCTTGCGGTTGTATTTCACGGTCTGGGAGTGCACGATGGGGCGCAGGGGACCGGCGGTGGGGCGGGGGAAGACGGTCTTGGCCTTCTCAGCACGGGCTGCGGAGGGTGGGAGGGTGGGTGGCGGGGCATGAGGGTGGGTGCGATGTCCCTCCCGTCACGCCCGGACGCTGCGCGGCCAACATGCGCAGGGATACAAGTGGCAAACAGCCAAGCCACTTCAGCTTCCCCGCCCGTCTCCAGCGCAGAACGCGAGCTGGAGCGCATTCGAGGGCCTCCTGTCCCCGTCCCGAGGGCGCTCACCCTGCCTCCGGCGCAGCTTGCGGGCGGGCTGGTTGAACCAGGTCCGCACGTTGGTCTGCCATTTCTTCCTGAAGTGCTGGTTGGGCACCACGTTGTTGTGGCGCACCATCTTGTCGCCCGGGTACCTGCAGGCGGGGAGCAGCCGTCAGTGACCGGGGCACGGCTGCAGAATCGGCGCCGCGCCTTTGCTCCTCTCGCTTCGCACGCCTCACCTGTGTCAAGATGCGTAAGCCTGGAAGAGGGGGTTCCAGGCCCGGCAGGCGCAGTAAGGCCGGCTCGGGGCCGAGACGTCCTTTCTACCAGGATCCAGCTCTGCGAGCCCCTCCCCGCGATCTGGGCACTCTTGATGCGTCATGGGCTGGGCCCCTCAACCTGCCATCGAGCTGCATGGTACCCCCGTCGCGCGGCATGTACATGCACGATGTCCTGTTTCTGCTGCTCTGAGCCGTCCTGAAGCAGCTCAGCCGTTGAATACCCCACCCCGGAAGTGCCTGGGCCTGGGCCTTTCGGTGCCGGATCCATCTGGGGCCAACCCGCGCGCCCACATGTCATTTTTCCATTCTTGATCAGCCTCCGTCCGACACGCTCGCATCGCGCCCGGCACCTGCGAGCGCCTGGCCGGCTCTCCTTCAGGCCCCCGGGCCATGGCCTGCCTAGAGAGGGTCCCCAGCGTGCCGGGCATGCCTGAGGGGAAGACACTGGAGCGCGCGCACTCCAACCAGGAGGTCCAGCGCGTGCCCCCCTCTCGCGTGGGTACGCCAGGGCCTGGGCACTGGTGGAAAGGTTCCCACTGTTCTATGTGTTCAGCCCCCGGTGCCAGAACCCCCTCCCTGCCTCCCCCCCCTCCCCCCCCCCCAGACCGCCTCCTGCTCCAGCGCATGAGGAAGAGCCAGAGCACCACAGTACTGTTTGGCGACCAGCCCGGCGTGCCCGGCGCCGAGTCCCCCGGGGTGCACCCCCGCGCCGGCGGCGCCGGCGCCCCCCCCGATTTCTGCGCCGCGGCGCCCCACCCCGCACTCGCCGACGGCCGCGCCTCCCAGCGCCTGATCGTGGTGGCCAACCGCCTGCCGGTGTCGGCGTACCGCGACCCGGAGGGCAAGTGGCAGCTGCAGGTCAGCGCGGGGGGCCTGGTGTCGGCGCTCATGGGCGTGGCCCACTTCCAGACCAAGTGGATCGGCTGGCCCGGGGTGTACGTCGAGGCGGGACCGGAGCGCGACGCGCTGACCTCTGCGCTGCACGGCGAGGGCTACGCGCCGGTGTACCTGGACCAGAAGATGGTGGACCTGCACTACAACGGCTTCTGCAACTCCGTGCTGTGGCAGCTGTTCCACTACGTGCCGCTGAACATCGACAGCAAGCTGTCAGAGACGCGGACGCTGCAGTTCCAGTGGGCCGCTCACCAGATGGTCAACCGCATCTTTGGCGACGCGGTGATGCAGCACTACCAGGAGGGCGACATCATCTGGGTGCAGGACTACCACCTCATGCTCCTTCCCGCGGTGCTCAAGGAGCGCCGCCCCAACATGAAGGTCGGTGTGTTGTGGGCTGATCGCTTGATATTAGGAGGGGGGGCGGGGGGGGGGCCCACGGGCCACAACCCTCCATGCTCTGCCGCCTGTGCCCCGCTCCCACCCTGGTCTGCAAACACCAAGGAGCTCGCCCGACCCAGCTCAAGACACCTCTGCCCTCCTGCGTCCTCTCGACCCACCTTCCCATGCACGAAACGCTGCCCAACCCCAGGTGGGCTTCTTCCTGCACACGCCCTTCCCCTCCTCCGAGATCTACCGCACGCTGCCCGTTCGCGAGGAGCTGCTGCGCTCCGTCCTGCGCGCCGACCTCATCGGCTTCCACACCTACGACTACGCGCGCCACTTTGTGTCCGCCTGCACCCGCATCCTGGGCCTGGAGGCCACGCCGGAGGGCGTGGAGGACGACGGGTCGCTGACCCACGTCGCCGCCTTCCCCATCGGCATCGACCCCGACCGCTTCACCGCGGCGCTGGGCGCGCCCGAGGTGCGCGCCAACGTGGCCCAGCTGCTGAACCGGTACGCGGGGCGCAAGGTCATGCTGGGCGTGGACCGGCTGGACATGATCAAGGGCATCCCCCAGAAGCTGCTGGCCTTTGAGAAGTTCCTGGAGGAGCACCCGGAGTGGTGCGACCGCGTGCTCCTGGTCCAGATCGCGGTGCCCAGCAGGACCGACGTCCCGGAGTACCAGCGCCTGCGCAGCATGGTGCACGAAGTTGTGGGCCGCATCAACGGCCGGTATGGCACGCTCACCCACGTGCCCATCTACCACCTGGACCGCCAGCTGTCCTTCCACGAGCTGGTGGCGCTGTACGCCATCACCGACGTCGCGCTGGTGACCTCCCTGCGCGACGGCATGAACCTGGTGTCCTACGAGTACGTGGCCTGCCAGCGCGACAACGCGGGCGTGCTGGTGCTCTCCGAGTTTGCCGGCGCGGCGCAGAGCCTGGGCGCGGGCGCCCTCCTGGTCAACCCCTGGAACGTGTCCGACCTGGCCGCGGCCATCGGCTACGCGCTGCGCATGCCGGAGCGCGAGCGGCGCGAGCGCCACCGCCACAACTACGCGCACGTCACCGTGCACACCGCGCAGACCTGGGCCGACACCTTCATCTCCGAGCTGGACGACACGGCGGTGGAGGCGGAGCTGCGCACGCGGGGCGTGCCGCCGCCGCTCCCCGTGCCGGACGTGGCCGCTGCGTTCGGTAGCGCGGCGGGGCGCCTCCTGGTCCTGGGCTACAACGCCACGCTGACGCCGGGAGAGGAGGGGCCGGGGGGGAGGACGCACCGTCCGGGCGTAGGGCACGCGGCGGGGCCCTTTGGCCCGGGCCGCGCCCGCGCCCGCGTCGACCCGGACGCCGTCGCCGCGCTGGCCGCCCTCGCCGCCGACCCCAACGTCCACGTGAGAGGAAGGGGGGTTCGCATGTGTTTGTGGGGAAGCGGGGGACAGAGGGGGGTGTTTTGGGGGAGTAACGACCTGGTGGAGGGGTGAGAAAAGAGGCGTCGTGAATGTCTCCCACCCAGGAGCAGATCTGGGGGAGGATGTGCATGCCCATACAGCGGGCCTGCAGATGAGGCACGGGCGCGAGGTATCGAGCAGCCCACCGGACCGAGCCTCCTACTCCACGCTGCCCGCCAGCTCTGGCAGGCGGATGTTCGGACACCAGCCCCAGAAATCACCCCCTTTCACCCCCCCCCCCCCCCCCCCCCCCCCCCCCCCCCCCCCCCCCCCCCCCCCCCCCCCCCCCCCCCCCCCCCCCCCCCCCCCCCCCCCCCCCCCCCCCCCCCCCCCCCCCCCCCCCCCCCCCCCCCCCCCCCCCCCCCCCCCCCCCCCCCCCCCCCCCCCCCCCCCCCCCCCCCCCCCCCCCCCCCCCCCCCCCCCCCCCCCCCCCCCCCCCCCCCCCCCCCCCCCCCCCCCCCCCCCCCCCCCCCCCCCCCCCCCCCCCCCCCCCCCCCCCCCCCCCCCCCCCCCCCCCCCCCCCCCCCCCCCCCCCCCCCCCCCCCCCCCCCCCCCCCCCCCCCCCCCCCCCCCCCCCCCCCCCCCCCCCCCCCCCCCCCCCCCCCCCCCCCCCCCCCCCACTCACGACAACGCAGGTGGTGGTGTTCAGCGGGAGCGAGAAGGAGGTGCTGGAGGAGGTGTTTGCCGGCACGCGCATCTGGCTGGCGGCGGAGAACGGCATGCTGCTGCGCCCCCCCGGCGCCACCGAGTGGGTGCCCGTCATCGAGCCGCCCTCGGGCGAGTGGATGGACAGCGTCAGTCTGGTGTTCGAGTACTTTTGCGAGCGCACTCCGCGCAGCTTCGTGGAGCAGCGGGAGCACAGCATCGTGTGGAACTACCGTGCCGCCGACGTCGAGTTTGGGCGCCTGCAGGCCCGAGACTTGCTCCAGCACCTCATTTCGGGGCCCATCTCCTCTGCGCCCGTGGATGTCGTGAGGGTAAGGATCTTTTGTGAAGGGAGGGGGGGGGAAGGGGGGGGGGGGCGGCATGCAGCACCACGCCATGCATGCCAGGTGTGGCTCGGGGTGCATGGCTGTGCCGATTCGTGGGACCGACCGACCTCGCACCGCCCCGACCCTGCGCCTGGCTGCATGCGCAGGGTCCCTACCCCCCCCCCCCCCCCCCCCCCTCTCACGACAACGCAGGTGGTGGTGTTCAGCGGGAGCGAGAAGGAGGTGCTGGAGGAGGTGTTTGCCGGCACGCGCATCTGGCTGGCGGCGGAGAACGGCATGCTGCTGCGCCCCCCCGGCGCCACCGAGTGGGTGCCCGTCATCGAGCCGCCCTCGGGCGAGTGGATGGACAGCGTCAGTCTGGTGTTCGAGTACTTTTGCGAGCGCACTCCGCGCAGCTTCGTGGAGCAGCGGGAGCACAGCATCGTGTGGAACTACCGTGCCGCCGACGTCGAGTTTGGGCGCCTGCAGGCCCGAGACTTGCTCCAGCACCTCATTTCGGGGCCCATCTCCTCTGCGCCCGTGGATGTCGTGAGGGTAAGGATCTTTTGTGAAGGGAGGGAGGGGAGCGCCTGGGAATGAGGGCGGAGGAAGCTGAGGGCGACGCGTTTGGTGATGTCTTTGAGGGGGCGACGGGAGTGACTCGAGCCTGGGAGGACAGCGCTGGCATCGGCCACCAGAAATCCACAACTCCACTCATGAATCGCCCTCTGGATCCCGACTCTCAAGGTCCATCCCCCCCCTTCCCACACACACACATCACCCCACAGGGCGGGCGCAGCATCGAGGTGCGGCCCGTGGGCGTGAGCAAGGGCGCCTCGCTGGAAAAGGTGCTGCAGTACATGGCCGACGCCTGCGACATGGCCAGCGTCAACTTTGTGCTGGCGGCGGGGCACTTCCTGCAGCGCGACGAGAACCTCTACGCGCTGGTGTCGGGCGAGACGGAGGGCGGCCTGGCGCCCGCGCCCGCGCCCGCGCCAAGCCACGCCCCCGCGCCCGGTCCCGCAGGTGTAGGGGCTACGCGGCCGCAGCACCACGATCCGGGCGCCCTGGGTCCGGCGGGGCATGCGCTGTCCCCCTCGCTGGCCGCGCGCATGGGCATGGGCGGCGGGGCGGCGGCCGCGCCTGTCGCGCCGGCCGCCGTGCTGCCCGCAGCGCCGTCGGCGCAGGACCGGCACCGCTACTTGGCCAGCAGCGACGCGGAGGCCGGCGCCGTGCGGCATCGCACGACGGGCGAGGCGCGGCGCCAGGCAGCACACGCTGCGCACGCTTCGGCTCCGGGGGCCAGCACGACGGGCGGGGGCGCGCCGGGCGCCACGGGCGGCAGCGTGCAGGCCTTTGGCGGGCACGAGCTGCCCTTCGCCGTCCCACCGCGCCACTGCTTCACCTGCGCGGTCGGGCGCGGGGTGGTCAGCCGCGCGGCCTTCACGCTGTCCAGCTCTGCGGAGGTGGCGGCGCTGCTGCGCCAGCTGGCGCTGACCAACGGTGCGACCATGGAGCAGCTCATGCCCGTGACCTCGCTGTCGCCCACCAGCAGCGGCGGGGACGGGCTCGCCGACAGCGGCTGGCTGGAGGCCAGTGCGCGGTCCTGGAGCCTGAACCCCCGCGATGAGGAGGCGATGCTGGGCAGGCAGTGACCCTGTTGTAGAACGGATCGGAGGGAGGGGCGAGGAAAGGGAAGGTGGAGGATAGGGGGGCGCCCTTGGGTTGTGTCAAATGTTCACAGAAGCGGGGGCACCGGCAGCCCGCGTAGGTCCCCCCGTCGTTGTGGTGCGATACCCGTTCCCGCCAGATTCGCGAGAATGATCAGCTCACAGGGGGCAGGGGTTCCTGCACACGCGCACTCCCCGTCAATCGCCCGTCGGGAGGCAGCGCGGGCAGCAGTGCGACCCTTTACCGAGCTTGTGCGCCGACCAGAGGTGCCGGCACACCGGGGCTGCACACGCCGTGGAGGAGGCAGGGTCTGTGACCTCGATGGCGCAGACCACCTGAGCCCAGGAGACGTGGGTCTCCCCCCGGCCTTGCACCAGAGCCCAGCCTCTTTCCACTTACAGGCCACGCCACAATCAGGATGGGACAGGTGAGAATGGGAGCGCAGTGGCACAGGGCCTATTCCGCGCGGCGAAGCCTCCTGGACACGCAACCGCTCACCATACCGTGCGCGCCCCCTTCTCCCAGTATCTCTCCTCTCCCGTCACGGAGAAGGACACGTTGGAGGGCAGCACAGATGACCTCAGCTACGGCATATCCGCGCACCAGGGGTGGCGGAAGAACATGGAGGACGCACACATCGCGCACCACATCAGCAAGGACACCTACCTGTTTGGAATCTTCGACGGTCATGGTGAGAAGACAGGGAGGGTGCTGAGAGCCCCAACAGGGGCCCTGGGGCGTGCGTTGTCGTACCCTTAGAGGATAGGTGCACTGCACTCATGTAACTGCCCCTGGCCAGTTCTGTGAGATCCACCTTGGACAGGCCCGCCTGGCGAGTGTCCCACCCACCCCCTTCCCAACCCCCCAGGTGGGCCCGAGGTTGCGAAGTTCTGCTCCATGTACATCCGGGAGGAGCTGGAGCGATCTGGGGAGTTCAAGGCGGGGGAGTACGAGGGCAGCCTCGTGCACGTCTTCCACCGCATGGACGACCTGATGCGCTCCGCCGAGGGCTTCTCCCAGCTGGAGTCCATCCGCAAGAGCCTGGACAAAGGTGAGGGGCGGCGTAGCGGCGCTTGCTCCCTGATCTAGGCCCTGGCGTGCACCGATGGGGGGCATTCGTGCTTGGGCGATCGCCTGGGGGCGCCATGCTCCCACAGTGTGCCCCACCCGCGAAAGCGCAACCAGCTGGTCCCGTGCTCACCAGTCCTCCCTTCATGAGCTGGTGTCCGCTTTATTTACACCCTTCATCAAAACCCACCCCCGCTCAGCCTCCGCGACAGAGGACGAGGAGGGCGACGACACGTACAGCATGCTTCGCAAGCTGGTGTCCCTGCAGCGCATGCAGAACAGCGCGGCGGCCGCGGCGGCCGCGGCGGCCGGCACCGCCAACGGCCGCGCTGCCCCGCTCGAGTCCGGCTCCGGCACCAATGTTGCCGACCCCGGCGCCCCCGCCCCCCGTCCCCTGCCCGGCGTGGAGGCCACGGTGCAGGCGGGGTGCACGGCGGTGGTGGCACTGCTCAAGGGCCGGCGGCTGTTCGTGGCCAACGCGGGCGACTCGCGCGCGGTGTTGGCGCGGCGCGGCGTGGCCGTCCCCCTCTCCCACGACCACAAGCCTTCGGCGGCGGGCGAGCGCGCGCGCATCATGGCCGCCGGCGGCTTCGTGTCCGAGGTGGGCGGCATCACGCGCGTGAACGGCAACCTGAACCTCTCCCGCGCCATCGGCGACCTGCGCTACAAGGCCAACCCCGCACTGGAAGCCAAGGACCAGATCATCACCGCCCAGCCCGACCTCTGCGTGGAGGCCCTGGTGCCGGGGGACCGCTTCATGGTGCTGGCCTGCGACGGCATCTGGGACGTCATGAGCAACCAGCAGGTGGTGGACTTTGTCGGCGCACGCCTGGACGAGGGGCTGACCCCCACGCAGGCTGCCAGCGAGCTGCTCAACGCCTGCGTGGCTTCCGACCCGCGCGAGACGCGCGGCATCGGCTGCGACAACATGACTGCCTCGGTGGTCGTGTTCAAGGGCCTCGATGAGGAGGGCGCGGAGTGAGCGTGGGGGCCATCGGAGCGTTGGGGTGGCCGGGGGGAGGGGTCGGGGCCACACTCTGCGTAGACCTCCGGGCCGGCCCCTGGGCCCCATCCCTCCAAAGACCCCTTTGCCTGGCGTATATCGCGCCTCCCAGGCGTGGCGGCGAGGGCTGGCCCCTCTCCCTCGCCATTGTATTCTTGCCCAGGCCCCTTAGGGGGGGGTAACATGCACCCATGTGCCTGTCCCTGCACCCGTGCACTTCCTTGCACACTTCGCTCGTCTGTACCGATTTCATATCCAGGTGATGCGGCCAGTCCCTTGGTGAAAGTCACGGCGCCCGAGAGATCTACCCCTGGCACGGCATGCGCAGCAGCGGCGGAAGTGATCTCTGACGTGGGACGGGGGGCGCCACTCGACGACACACGGGCAAATGCGCTATGAACCCATTCTAACGCTCCCTGACTCTCGACGATATCACCAACCTTTTGGAAGCACACTGACATCGGATCCCGGGGCGCGCACCTCGTCTCCAAAAGAACCCAAGGGGCCGCACCTCTGTGCTGTCGCGGACCCATGACGATGCCAGCGTCCTTGGCCTTGAGTTTCCGGCCAGGGAGCCTGGCCCAAGCACCGGGATTCCGCAGATCTCTCAGCACGCACCCACAATGGCGAGCCCCTGCCCCGCCTTGCCCCTGGAGGCAGGGGCATCCTGCACGGGCGCCCGGCCCCAGGCGCACAACATGCCGATCCGAGGATGCCGATGCCGACATGTGCATGCCTGCGTGAGTGTGCTGGCCTTGCAACGGTAGTACAGCCTGGTCCATGTACGCAGGCCGACATGTTGTCCTCCTGGCCTGCATCTTGCGATGCACCTGCCATGCCCACCTCTCCCCGCAGCTTTGTGACGGTGGACAACGAGCGCGAGGAGAGTTCCACGGTGCTGGAGGTGGAGATCAAGGACTACCCCGGCCTCCTGCGCATCATTGCCTGGGTGTTGAATGGGCTGGACCTGGTCGCGGAGAACGCCGTGGTGAGCACAGACGCCGAGGGCATAGCGCACAACACCTTTTGGCTCACCAGCCTCAGCGGTGAGCGGGCGCAGGGTGGTTGTGGGGATTCGCATATGGGACGGCGAGGCAGTGAGCCAGGATCATGTGCGCGAGGCTGCATAGGAGCAGCCGCCGGCGGGCAGTTGAGTGGTGGTGTGGCGCGCAAGATAGCAGGGGACCATGGCCACAACCCGATCTCCCCTGCATTCTGTCCCCTCATGCAGGCAATAAACTGAAGGACAAGACTGCGGAGATGCTGGCTGACCAGGTCAGGGATTACCTAATGTACTGCACTCACCAGAGCGATGTGAAAGCGGCGACAGAATTCACATCTGGGCCCATCACCATCTCCAACTCGGAGGACAAGGAGCACTCCGTGGTGAGTGGAACGGAAAGTCGGTCTTTGGTGCACAACTTTTGGATGAGGACCAGGGCTTTCCTTGGAAAGCGGCAGCGAGGGGCAGGGAAGCATGGTGTGGGGGTGTCTCTGCATCGCGCCGGATTGATGCAGAGCGGCAAGAGAGGCATTCAGAGCCGTCAAGATTGCCGCTCCGAGAGCGCAGCACCGCCCTCCATCCCAGCATGAATCCTGTGTGCTGTGCTTGCTGCCCCAACATGGGTATCCTTGAGCTTAGCATCACCGCCCGTATCCTCCCGGAGCCCATGCCAGATCCATGTCAGGGAAGACAACCCGTCCCCTGGCTTCCTCCTTGAGGTGGCGTCGGCACTGACCGGTCTCAACACCCAAATACAGCAGGGCGTCATCCAGGTGGGGGGCCGGGGTGGCGCTGTGCGTTAGGTTCGGAGTGGGCATGCAAGGTTTTTATGATCGACGCCACCAACATCCTGGGATTGGCCTGTCCTGCCAACCCCTCAACCCTTCCCACATCTGGCGCAGGGCACAGGAAACTGCGAGAACAAGGATACGAGCCTTGGCTGTGATGCCCGCCTCTTCAAGTTCTGGGTGAAGAGCAGGTGTGCTGTGTCTCAGGTTGCAGGCACTTGATTGCTCTCGGGAGAGATGTGCACCACACTGGAGGGGGTTGGGCAGCATTCGCAGTCAGCATGGCCAAGGGCAAGCGCGCGTAGGGAGAATAGTAGGCCTCGGGCCCAGTCTGGGCCGCGGCGTACGGGCGTCCACAGCTCCTGGTCCGGCTGCGTCCGAAACGCATTGCCCTTGTGTGTCGGCCGATGCGCTGCTTTGCATGCAGGGGGTGCCAGGCTGTTGTTGTCCCTCGACCAACCCTCCTCTCACCCACCGCCCGCCCGCCACAGCACCGGCGAGAAGCTCAACTACGAGCAGGCCAGCGCCCTGCTCTTCACGCTCAACGTCGTGCTGGGCAACTACCTGAACCCCCTGACGCCGCCAGACGCAGCGCTGGAGGCCACCAACAACACCAGCACCGCCTGAGGGGTGGCGCCGCAGTGTCAAAGGAGGGGTCCTGGCGCTTCGGCGCAGTTTTCCTACCATGCTCATGTGCCGCCCATGCTTTTCATGGTGCAGCAGCTGAGCTCGTCTGTAAGCCCTCCACAGTTGAGCATCACGCCGCGCGCATCCGTCCAACTGCCAGCGGCCCTCGTGGGTCGGCGCTTCTGGCCGCTCATCCGCCGGCCGCGGCTTGAGTTTTGCCCTCCGCCGACAGGCCGGGGTTTGCTGGGTCCCCTCGTCCCACTTTTTTCTTGCGGGGGGCTGGGTGGTGCGGTGCCGACCTCTCCTCGCCGACAGGGGAGAGGCCGGCCCCCGTCGCTCCCGAGCCCTCTGTCAGCCGGCCGACTCGCTTGGGCTGGAAGGCCTGGAAGCCCTCCCGCACACGCACAGGTTTCCCCCCCCTGGTCGACGGGGCAGGCTCCGCTCCAGGCTTTCCAGCTGGCGCGGCTGCGGGGGCAGCCGCCGCACCAAGGTCGGGCGCGGGCTGAGGCCCCTCGCCGGTTGCGCCTGCCCCCGCCCGTTTGAGGATGGCTGTGGGATTCCTCCTGCTAGGGTCTGGCGTCCTGGCGGCTCCACCGCTGGCGTCTCGGGACCCCTGCGGCTGTGCTCCAGTAGCCTCGCCATTTCCTGAGGGCAAGGACCCTGCTCGTTGCCGCGAGGGCGCCAGCGGCTGCCCCTGTAGCTGCGTGAGGCCGGGCCCTGCCTTCTCTGCCTTACCGCCGCCGCCTGGGGCAACCCTCTTGATCATCTGGATGGTCACAGGGGCCTTCTTCTGCTTGGGCAGGGAGGCCGGGCTAGCCTCGGCTGCCTGCGCCCCTCCTGGAGCCCCAGCCTTCTTGCCAGCGTTCTTGGCGCCGGGCCCAGCCTCCTTGGGGACAGCGCCGGGCTTGCCATGATCCCCAGGCTTGGCCTTGGCGGACTTTGCTGCGTCCTGGGCCGCTGCGGCGCCCTTGGCGGCCTTTTTCCCCCGTGCAGGCTTGCTGACCTCTGGCGTGGCGGTGCCCTGCTTCCCAGCCCCACCCGGCTGCTGCTTGAGCTGAACCTGCGGCGCCGTCTTCGCTGCGGGCGGTCCCTTGCCACCCTTCTTGGCGGCGGCCACCGCCGCCGCCTTCAGCTTGTCCTTGGCTCGCTTCTCCTTCAGGAAAAGAACCAGGGGGGTCAAGGCATCGGTCTCCATGGGCGGCTGGGGTGCTGGAAGGGCAGAGGGTTTGGTCTGGGTCTCCTCATCCAGCGACTTGAGAAAGGCACGATACCCGGCATCTGTGGGAAGGAGGAGGGCTGGGGATTTCATCGGTGCCATTCACCCGTGTTCAAGGGAGAATTTGCAGAAGGATGTAAGTAAAATGCACAGCAACAGTACGGATGGAGGAAACCATGCACCCACTCAACAAATCTATGAGCTGGGCCTTCTGTGCAGCGCACCGACACCACACCTTTCTCGATTGTGCCTTCGCGTGGGTCTCGGCGATTGGTTGCACGGGGTACACGCTGGAAGGGAGCATACTCGACCCGAGCCCTGGATAGGGAAGGGTGCGTATGGGTGAGCCTGGAAACTCATTTGCTGTGTCATCTTGGTGCACAGGACAGCCAGCCCCTGCCCCCTCTCGGCCCATCTGCCGCCTCACCTCGTGTGGGCTCCTCGGTCCGAAACGAAGAGATTGCCATTGAATGCAGCACTGAATCGGAGGGCATCCGCGGGGTCCTTGAAATTCAGGTACGCCCTCGAATGCACATGCTCCTTGGCGCTGCAGGTTGAGGGGCAGGGTGCGCAGTTGGCTGGTGCGTCCCAGCGAGACAGCAGAGTCATCGCTGCAGCAGTCCCGCCGCACCTGACTTTGCCCTGGTAGTAGGCGGACCAGTTGGATCTGTCGAGCCACTCCTGCACGGCCGACTTGAAGGCGTCTTCGGACAGGGATGGAGGGAGGTGACGCACCACCACCTTTGTCCTCTCCTCCGCCTGCGTCATGTCACTACAGTGGCATGCATACTATTGGGAAATCTCCCAGATCCCAGCGGTTTGACCAGTCTGAGGCGAGAATCGAGGTAAAAAGTCACAAACTCATGTTACGTAATGGCGAATGCCATTTCTCCTCAAATAAAGACACTCCCAGCTTGTTGCAGATTCAGACGGCTTTCGATTCGTTGAGATCGAGTGTGGATGTCGTGTACTCACAGCTCAGTGAGAGCAGCTCCAGCAACTGAATCTTGCAATACTTTCAGCTTCTCTCTGGAGCCACAGCGAACGGTACTCTGAATTTTATCTGAGACCCCACCCTTCTGCTCCCCCGATGATTTTTCCTGCGGCTCGCCTGTTTAGTTCCTGTCTCGAGAAATAAACATCCGAAAGTCTCATCACCGACGCGTGCTCATCGTCACTCTCATCGGACCGCCTCGTCAAGTCGAGAGCCCCCATTCGGCACAGGTGCCGGGGTGGCTGTCCGATCCACAGGGAGCGGCTGGGTACCCAATCCCCAAATCGAATCTGGCACACGTGAGTTCCACCGCAGCACCGATTCGATACCCCGTTGCATACGCCTGACGACGACCCGCAGCCTCGGTCCCATGCAGGCGTCGTGAAGAACCGGGGCCCCTCCTATGCTGCAAAGCCTCCGACGAGGTTGCAAGCTCGTGGACATGGTCGTGACCGCCGGATTGCTGGGCCCTGCCGGCAGAGTCAGCCTCCCTGGCCCAAGTAACAATGCCGTCTTCGGCTCCCGACTGTTCCGCAAGCCCGTCGGCCCGGGCCCCTCTGGTAGGGAGAGTGGAGGGGTGCAGGGCATCCACAAGGGGCAACGTAGCGCATGTGCTGAACAAGTTTGTTCAATGCGCGCCTCACAAACTTCGCACCCACCATAACCTGCGCATTCTTTCCGCAGCAAGGTTGGGACGAAAGCCGCTGGCGCCGCGCAACCCAAACACCACCTGCTTCGATTCTGGCGGCGGGTCTGGTGGGGGCGCCGGCGCCCTGCGAGGCTACAGTGGCGGCAGCGGCGGGGGCAGTGGGAGATCGGGAGCTGCAGGGCTCTGGGCCGCCTACACCACCCTCCTCGCCAAGAAGCCGGTGGGTTGAGACAGAATGGACATGTTTATGAGCGATCTCGGCACCGGGTGCTGTCTGGAAGTCTGGCGCGCCTGCTTTCTGCACGCTCCATCCAACCCATCGCGTCAACACTGCTCTGCCGCTCTTCCACTCATTCCCTGCTGGACCTCCACACGTCACCCCCTCCTTCCCACCTGCTCCCTCCCTTCCTCCCCTGTCCCACAGCTGCTGACCAAGTCGGTCACCGCCGGCGTGCTAAATGGCTTGGGCGACGTTCTGGCGCAGGTGACGGTGGACAAACACCGCGACTTTGACTTCAAGCGCCTCGCCATCTTCGCTTTCCTCGGCGTGGCGATGATCGGACCCATGCTCCACGCCTGGTATGGCGTGCTGGGCAGGGTGGTCACCAGCACCGGCCCCAAGGGTGTGTGCGGGGGTGGCTGTGTGGTTGGCTGGGGGGGCAGGGATCTTGTTGAGTTGTGTAAATTCCAGTGCTTGCGCCGCGCTTTCCATGGCATGCTGCTCGTGGGCCTGGGGGAGGCTCTGCAGCTGCTGACCTGGCACATCCACGCGTAGCCTGTCCCTTTCCCCATTGGCCCACTCCTCAGAAGCCCCTTTCTGACCTTCCCCTCCCTTCCCTCCCCTCCTCCCAGCCGGCCTCATGCGCATGGTGCTGGACCAGTTTGTCGCCGCCCCCTTCTTCATTGGCTCGGTGGTGGCGGCGGTAATGGTGCTGGAGGGACACGGTGAGCAGGTCGGGCCCAAGCTGCGACGGGACCTCTTCTCCATCGTGCGCAGCAACTGGGCTCTCTGGGTGCCCTTCCAGTTCCTCAACTTTGGCTACATCCCTGCGCAGTTCCAGGTGCGGGACGGAAGGGCGGATTTTGGGTGGGCACAGGGGGACACGTGATAAGGGTGGGACTGTGATCGCACTGGCGGCACTGGTAGTTGCCTGCACAGGACTAGAGCATAAGAAGTCGATTATGCCACAAGTTTGCTGACACGCAGGTGCTGGCGGCCAACTGCGTTGCTCTGGTGTGGAACGTGTACCTATCGTACGCGAGTCACAACTGACCCCACGTTTCATGGTGTGGAAGGAACCTTGGCAAGCCCAGCATAGATCCATGCTGCGTTTTGACAGATCTGGGAGCCCAAATTTTGAGCAGCTCGGCATGCCAATGGTGATCCTTGGCGTCGCACATGCATTTCCCAACATCACATGGAAATTGCCTCATGTCACCCATCACATGTAAAACAAATCAGTAGATGGCATACCAGCTTGAGGTCGAATCAGGTGGGTTGCAGTAAATGCGAATGTAATCATTCCATGTGGGAATTCACAAGCTCATGTGTTTCAAAAAGAGCGAAAGAGCATGAGTAGATGGCAAGGTAAGAGGGTGACGATGTTGATAACTATTGACAAAAAACTGCCCTGCTCTCGGGCTCGCGTACCAAAGACACTGGACATGCAGACCTAACGCCTCAATGGGAACTGGAGACTCCCTTCGCTGTAGACCTGGCAAAAGACAACTCTGATGCCCCATGGCAGACGTTGAAGTCGTTGTAATAGCACTTATTCCACCTTGAAAGCATCGCCGGTACCCGAAAGCCTCTTGTAGGAAAAGCTCATAAGTCTCGTGAGGAACATTCTTCCCAATTTTGCAAGTGGAGTGTTGACCAGAATGCATTGGTCACAGTCTGGCTGTCCTCGCCACCCTCAAATCCGAAAGATATCGCCCTGCTTACCACAGCCAATTACGGAAGTGGACTTTCCATGCACTGGTCACTCAGACACGAGCGCGTGCAGATACAAGAGCATATCCATTGTATATAACCTTTTTCTCGGGCGTACCTTGTCGAAATTTGACAGGGTCGCCATCATGTTTGCAAAGGGGATGAGCTCCATGCAGCTATCGAGATCGGTGAGGTCCATGACCAGGAGCTTTATGCGCGTCAGAGTCCTGAGCTCCTCGAATACACTGACGTTGTACATGCACCATGTGCAGATGGCTGTAATTTCAGCTGAGCGGGGTGCCCTTCCGATTGCTCGTCCGGCGCACACTGTCTCCAGGTAAGTCCTGCTCGCAAGATGCATGCATGAAAGAAGAGACCGGCACTCAACCTCCGAATTGACAATGCTCCGATAGCCGGGCCACAGAACACAAGGCATCCAGCTCCTTTAATAAACACTGTTAACTGTTTGAGTTTCCTTTGTCAGTGCAGATGCAAGCCCGCCCTGAGCTACCGCACCCCAAGCGCCCAGGCGCGGTGGAGCATCACGCGCGCTGCCTCTGCCAAGGAGCCCCAGACTGAGGTCGCAGAAGAGGAAGATCTGTGGCAGTATGCAGAGCGGGATCAGTGGTATGCGGCACGCTTTGCGGCGGACGATCAGCCGGACTGGGTCGCGGGCTCCTTCCTGCGCTACAAGCAGCTGACTCCCACCATCAGGTGACGCGGTGGGGCTGGTTGAGGGATGAGACCAGAAGGGAGTCTGCCTGGACTGTGGCTTTGGCGGAGCTCCCATCTCCCCGGCCATCCATGGTGCATGATGAACAAAGAGTACCAATCACTCGCTACTCCTCCTCCCAGGGAGGTGGTGGTCGGGGTGGAGATCAGCCGGGAGCGCATTCCCCTCCGTAATGCATACAAGCATGTCGGCCAGCGGGCCTGTGTCAGGATCAACAGCGGCACCGAGCAGGAGGTTCCAGGTGCGCTGCCCGGCTTGTGCAGGGACTGGCGCCCCTCTCCTTATGTGCCGCGCTGCAGATTCACCAGGAAGTCCAGTGCATTCAGATCAGAGCCCTCCCTTCTCAATCCCTGCCTGCAGTGTCCAGTCCGCCCTTTCCTCAATCCCTGCTGAGGGAGGTGCTGCTCACAGTGCGAGGAGATCTTTACGCGGAGGAGACAAAGGTGATTTGGTTGCGGCCTCCATATGACCAGGGGGTTGAGTGTCTTGGGAAGATGAGAGCCATGGGAGAGCCCGCCAGGGCTGGAGGCGATCGAAGTGTGTGAGCCCAGGAGCCTTTAATTTACCTCGTGTCTTTCCTGTAGGTCTGAGTCGATTTTGACCAGAATGCAATGCAGAAATCCATACATGCCTGTACCTCGAGATTCTCCCCTTGCCAAATTGCAGACTGCCAGGGAGCTGACATCTGTCACAGCAGAGCTGTCACTGTTTGTCAGCAGTGAAGAGTACCCTGACATCTACAAGCTGTCAGCAGAGGACACCCTCGAGATAGGTCCTTTCAAGGTGAGGCAGAGTGCTGCATGAGAGGCCCAACGCATGCCGGCTGTGCAGGTGCCTCTTCATCGGAAGGGGCATCCCACTCCCTTATCATCTGCGCCACCCTATCCTTTCTTTCACCCCTTCTCGCCACAGGGGTCGGGTCTCGACCTGCGAGGCAGCCTGCTCGGGATATTCCAGCACCCCACGGTGGTCATCTTTGCCCAGGGCAGTGGGATCGCCACCGCCAAGGCCCTCCTCCTGGCCTCCTCGGACGTGTGCGGGCTGAACCTGCGCATGCGCACGGGGGAGAAGCGGCTCTACTATCGGGTAGGGAGGGGTGGGTATAGACTGAGGCCCATGGGTCACCAGCAGGTAGAAGCAGGGAGGGCAGCGCAAGGTACTTGGATGTCCAAGGCAGAACCCCCAGCCTCACCCTTTCCTCTCACACGCCAGGCGCGGACGCAGGCGGCCCTGACGTATGCTGAGGAGTATGAGGCGTGGGAGGAGGCAACTGGGGTCAAAGTGGTCACCGCCACTCGGGACAGCTTTGCAGACATGTTTGACGACGACGACACGCTCGAGTGCGCTGGCTGAAAGGGGAGGAGCACATGGTCACCATGCCTGGCTGCCGCCTTGCATGGCCCTGGCATGAAGATGCCGTCGCGCAAGAAACCCTCGCACTCGCCTCACGGGCCCATCCTCCCTCATCCTCCCAGGTATGAGCCGGCCTCGACGGCAGCCATCCTGTTGACCGGTGGCGACGAGGAGAGCGAGGAGGATCTCCTGGAGCTGTGCAAGGAGGCCGAGATCAACTGCATCGTGAGGCAGAGCGTGGAGGGCGCCCTCACCGAGTACCTCGCCAAGGGAAAGGGCGCATGAGCGCCTTGTGGAGTGCATTGCCCGGCCCGGACCTGGAATCCAGCCATTGTAGCGAAAATGGTGAGTCTGTACAAGGAACGAGTCAGAGAGGAGGCGTTGGCCCCCAGGACACCATGCTGGGTTCAGATGACAGCCACACCCTCGTCCATGAGGGTGTCCTCTAGCTCGGGAAGGGGGAACCTCAGGATGGCCGCCAGGCCGGTCAGCGCCTGCAGCTGCTGGCCTGAGCCATGCATGTCCGAGAACAGCATGACCTGGCCGCCACCTGGGCAAGTGCAGGGAAGGGGGAATCGGGTGGAGGACAGCATTTGGACTGGGGTTTCTTGCTTGGCGTCCTACAGTCAACGATGTACCTTTCACATGCCAGACACGGAGCCAGTGGGGACGCCGCCCCCCCCCCCCCCCGCCCCCATCCGGCCTCACCTGCCGCGACTTCGTCCACCAGCGCGACATACTTTCTTCGTGCCGCCACGTCGCTGGTGCGGAAGAGGCCCTCGGAGATGAGCAGCGTGGCGATGGCACCCACCTCGTGCGCCGCCCAGACGTGGCCTGGCCCATAGAAAGCGCGCGCGGGGTCGCTGGACATCATGGCGTAGAAGTCGGCCATGGCTGCCACCTCCTTGGCGGCCTTGGTGTCCTGGGGTGGGAGGGACACGGGGGAGGTGGTGGGCGAGGGGTGCATGGGTGTGAAAACACGCTCCTGGGTGCCTGGCAAGAGCGAACCCCTGGCATCCCATGTTCCCACGCGCCTTGATCTGGGCCGCGACCGCCGGCACCGCCAGGACCTCCTTCAGCGAGTGCTGGAAGGCGGTGGAGGCCGGGGCCACCACGATCTTGGAGCGGGCCGCCATCAGTACCTTGTCCTCCCTCCGCTGCGCCTCTGCAACAGGGAGGACAGGATTGGATTCCAGTTGTGATCCTTTTTGTTCACACCGCAGCAGCTTCAGATGACACAAGGCAAAAGCAGGTGGCTTTGATAGTCATACTCTACTCGGAGATCAAGCACAGGGTACATTACCTCTGCAATGCAGCTGCTCCCCGACCCACACCTCAAGCTGCTCGATACCACTGAGAGCATGCCCCAGATTCCCCCCTCAGACCCTCACAGCACCCCACCTGCAAAGAGGAACTCCAGGAACTGGTCCTTTACGAAACCGGGGCCGGCCACCACCAAGCACTTGACCACATCCCAGTCGACATGCTGCAGTACTGCCTGGTGAAGTTGATGCGAGGAGGAAGGTTTGTTGCAAGTAAGGGAGAGGGAAGGCCGCCGGGATATAACTAATGTTGCTAGCATGCACGCAGTCCTCCGCAGCCAGCCAGCCAGCACGCAGTACCCTGCAACACACATGCATCCCCAGCATGCCCACCCCAGCCCCTGGCACGCCGGCAACACCCTCGCAACCCGCGGCACCTGGTACACCCTGCTCTGGAAGGTGTGCACCGCCTTGTCCCGCCCCGCGGCCGCCGCCCCTTTCTTCCTGGGCATGCTGGTCTCCACCCGAGCGCGCAGGACTGTGGCGTTGGCCCCCACCAGGGACAGGTTAGCCAGACCCTCCCCCACCAGCAGCACGGCCAGGTCGGCCGAGGCGGCGGGGTCTGAGGCGGCGGCGATGCGGTCCAGGTCCACGCCGTCCCACACCTCCTTCTCCAGGGTGAAGGCTGCCTGGCGCCGCAGCTCCAGCGTGTGGTAGGCGCCCAGCTTCACGTGCTCATTCTCCGTCAGGTTCCTGCCCTTCAGCCGGATCTCCTCCCCTGCGTGTGTGTCGGGGGGTGGGGAGGGGGGGAGAGGGGGGGCGATGCATTGAGCTGAGCAGTGTGTTCGTAGCAGAACCAAAGCGTGCGGGGTGAGAGCGGTGTGTCTAGCAGGTGGATGGACTCGCTGCATGCAGGAGCCCGTCCCCCTACAAACCAATTCAAGGCAAGCGGCACAGCGCTGCTGGCGCTCTGCTACCCCCCGGACCCCCACCCTACGCCCCACACCCCACACCTACCTGCTGCATCGTAGTCGATGTCCTCCACCTGGATCATGAGCCTGAGCTTGATGCGCTCGCTGTCTGTGCCCATCCCCGTGTCCCGCTGGACCTTGCGGTAGGTTGTGGCCGCCACCTTGTCCCCCGTCCGCACAAGGTTAAAGACATGCCAGAGGTCCTCGCCTGCTTGGATGGGTCGAAATGACATGGTGATCTGTCATTTGAGAAGTTCACAAGCTCCCTGCAGGTCCTCATCTTACATGCACCAGCATGCAATTCCTTGGGCCGGGGCTGTAATTTTCCACACAATCACTGCCCATGCAGATCCAAGCACACCCACCATCTTCAGGGATGAGCTTGACGCTTCCGGGTCCATTTTTCGAAAATTTCTTGGAAACAAACTTCATCGTATATGGAACCCAAGTTCCAGCCGGAGGCCGACGCTGTTGGCCGCGACCCAGGTCACTAGCAGTGCTCCGCCCCTGACGCTGTCAGCCTCGGGTCCCCTCGGAGAGACGGTCGACGGTGGCTGTGCTGAGCCGCCCGAGGACATCTGCGCATGCAGCGTGACAGCATTTGTACAGACAGACTGATGCATGAGTTGCAGGAGCTGTGCACCTTGACCGCGAGCTTACTACCACCTTGCGCGCGCAGCTTCCTAAGCACCTTGCACCGAGATGACAGCAGGTCAGCTTTGAACAAGCTGTCGCGATCTTCCACGCAGGGCACAAAAATTGGGTAACATTACGACATTTGCAGGCTCTGATTAGGTAGTTCAGACTTATGACAAGCACATACAAGCAACGGTGGGCTCACGAATCTCGTAATGAACCACAAGGGCCTCCAATTTCCAGAGCATGACTGCAGCAAGGGCCTCAGAGTGCCCAGGCATGGCCAAGGGGATGTTCATTATCCCTTCTAAACATGCATTCTTGTGCTGGTACTTCATGGACACCTCATCCTCAGTTCCACTGTTGAAACTGTGGAAAGTCTGCCCAGGATGTGTACCCCTTCTTGGTGTGAATGAGGTATGCCATCCTGTGTCAGGTGCGGATGAGACACACCATCAGATTAGGTGGAACAGAACCAAGAGTTCTGTGGCAGAGCCCGATTATCTCAGGCACTCGAAACTGCACTCACCGACAGTAATAGGCGCCAGGGATGAAAGCCAGCGCACCCAGGCAGATGAGTGCGATGAATGCGCTCGTGCCCTCGGTATTCAGAAGCACTATGCCGGCTATGAACATCGCGAGGCCTGCGTGAAATGCAGGCAGTGGGGTTGCGCAGGGAGAGCTGCAACTCTCCCAGGATCCTTTGCAAGACACACGCACCCCCGCCTTGCTGTGTCTTTCTGTCAGCGAGAGATCGGGTGCATCAGCTACCTGCTACGAAGAGCCCTATGGACCAGGCCAGGGGTCGCCAGGGAACCTCATCCTCCTCGTTCCGCATAGTAGGTCGAGACCGTATGTTGACCGACCGCTTTCGCTTGTCGAGACAGGAAGCCTGGGGATATGTAGGTCGATCGCTACACTAAGTTCCCGAAGATAAATTCAGTGAAGCATTCTGATTGACATCATGTAACCCACTATGGTGAAGCATAAATGGTGTGATCACACCTCTGGTTGAATGTCGAAAGACTTCGCGCCCTGGGTTGCAACACCGGGCACCCGTACTCACTTATGTGCCTAATTCGAGACACGATTCGCCTCCCTATCGCCACATGCGGTTGTAGTTCATAGGCTGCTACTTGAAGGATATATGCGCTTGTGATCTGATGCAGCACGCGTAAACCGGCCGAGCGTTAGCCTGCTACGGACTTGGCTATGCCGCTCACAATGCACAGCTGAGGGGGTGCGATGCAGCGCATCTCCCTTCAGCCCTGCTTCACAGCATGTGGCGAGACCCCCCTCGCCCACATCCTGCGACTAGGCGACGTGACATTGCTGCTGGATGCGGGCTGGACCACGGAGTACCTGGAGGAGGACCTTGCTGAGCTGAGGTCAGCCCTGCCCAGCATCGATGCTGGTCAGTTGAAGGAGTGGATGGGAGCGAAACATTTGGCGCAACACCTATGCGTTGCTGTGTACCCCACCCATGAACACCCTGGCAGTCTGCAATGGATTCTTAAGGTCGCCTCTTCCCTACCCCTGCCCACCACACTCCCTGCCCGCAGTCCTTGTCAGCCACGCTGATGTGGCGCACCTGGGTGCGCTCCCTGCCCTGCTGGGCCAGGGTGACCGGACTCTGCCCGTGTACATCACTGGGGCCGCCCACAAGATGGGGCAGATGGAGCTGTACGAGGAGTGCCTGGTCCGGTCCGGCTGCTCGGAGTTCACGGCGTTCTCGCTGGACCACATCGACGCGGCATTCGATGGGATGACAACGCTGAACTACCTCCAGCACTGCTCCTTTGTCGGTGAGCAGTGTGGGAAGAGCTGATGTGGCGGGGGAGTGAGCAGGCTCGGTGGGTGCTTGTGTGAGCATGGTTGTTCCTCGCATGGAATGATGGCAGGGAAGCCTGCACAAACCTTGCACATTATGCCATATTCTTCAAGGGATCCATCGCACCATGGGCTTACAATTAAATGCATCTGCATCGCAGTCAGGGACACTCCGGTGAGGATCGTGGCACACCCGGCCGGCCACCGGCTGGGCGGCGCCATCTGGCACATCCAGTGGAGCAACGAGGACATCGTGTATGCGGTGGGCTTCAACCACAGGTGATGGCATGCTTGGTCCATGAATTATGGATCAACAATGGTTGTAGAACCTCTCCCCTCGCCGTGCCGAGCAAAGCATCGCCTGCCAGTCCTTACCGCCCTCTGGCCCCACTGCTCAATGTTCGGCTGGTATTCAAACTCTCAAGCGCCCACTCCGACACAATACATCCTCCTCCTGTCTCAGGAAGGAACGGCACCTGGCGGGGGCGCAGCTGCCGGGCATTGTCTCCCGCCCCGCCCTGCTCATCGTGGACGGGGCAAACGCTGCGGTGACGGCGGCTCCTAGCGCGACCCAGAATGCGTGCGTGGACGCATGGAGGAGGCGGGGGGGGGGGGGGCGCGTGGAATGAATAGACCGGGGTGAATCCAAGGGAGGGCAATCCTGGCAAAGCACTCAAGCTCCCCAGTCTGGCAGGCTTAGCTGGCTGCTCACGCGTAGACCCACGCTTCTCTGCTGCCCACCCTTTTCCAGCGACTTTTTGGAAGCTGTCGTGGCCACACTGCGCTCAGAAGGCAATGTCCTCATCCCCGTGGACGCCGCCGGCCGAGTCCTTGAACTGCTCCTGCTCCTGGAACACCACTGGTGAGGGTGATGCGGGGGTTGCGGGGGGATGGTGCCGGGGATTTTGGGATGCGGAGTCCTGGGTGCCCTTGCTCTGGAATTCCAAACTCAAGGCAGGCTTTGCCACACACCCTAATCCCCGGCAGCCCCCCCCCGGCGCGCTCTCCTGCCCATCACAACCAATCCTCAATACAGATCCACCGCCTCACCCCTCGGCCCCTGACCCCCTCACTCCTGTTCTCCAGGGCCCAGCACCACCTGCCCTATTCCCTTGCCTGGCTGAGCTCCATGGGCGCCAGCACCCTGGAATTTGCCAAGACGCAGACGGAGTGGATGAGCGAGTCGCTGTGCTGGCACGGCGGCCGGCTGCAGGACAATCCATACCTCCTGCGCCATGTGCGGCCCTGCGCCGACGCCGCCGCACTGGCGCGCATGGGCCCCGGGCCCAAAGCGGTGCTGGCCAGCCTGGGGGACCTGGGTGCGGGGGGCGCGCGCGAGCTGCTGGCCGCCTGGGGCGCCGCCGAGCGCAGCACGGTCGTCCTGCCCTGGGTCGCGGCGGGCCGGCGCTCGCTGGCGCGCGCGCTGGCGCGTGCGGGGCGCGGCGAGCTCGTGCGCCTGGTGCTCGGCCGCCGGGTGCCACTGGAGGGCGAGGAGCTGGCGGCCGCGCTGGCCGCGGCGGCCGGGGAGGCGGGCGAGGATGTGGTCGAAGATGCGACGCTGGCCGAGGCGTTGCCTGAGGCCAATGAAGGGTTTGAGGCGCCCGACGCTGCGGCCCAGGCGTTGGAGTTGGCCGCTGACTTCACGGCCGAGCAGCAGCCCCAGCGGGCCAACACGGGGACCATCGGCGTGGCGGGGGCGCCCGAGCAGGCGCAGCAGCGGACCGAGGGCGCGGGGGCCCTTGCCGCGCGGCATGCGTGCCTGGTGGACGGATTCGCGGTGCCGGAGGTGGGGCCGAAGGGGGTTGGCAGGTGGAGGCTCCCTGGATGAGGAGCTGTTCGGGACTCGGGGGCCCTGCAAGTGATCAGGCAGGTCCGTTGCAGCCATGGAGGGCAGGGCAGGGCACATCTCTGTGCCCCGGCAGGCTCCAACGTCCGCCAGCCTCTGCTGCATCCACTCGCCCACAGATCAAGCAGTCATCCCTTGCTTCACACGCTCGTGTGCTCCTTGCAGGGCTGCTGCTCACCCATGTTCCCCTTTCCGGAGAAGCCAGAGGCACGAGACGCGTATGGCACCATCGACACCTCCGTGGTCTTTGAGGAGGACGTGGCCTCGGGGCCGGGAACCTGGGACCCCGGTGCGGGGGTCGCCCCCGCCGCCGCGGACGCCGGCGCCGAGGGGGCCGCCCCCGGCCCGCCCCCGCCCACCAAGGTCGTGGAGGAGGACGCCTCCTTCAACCTCAGGGCCCTGGTCCTGGCCTTTGACTACGAAGGCCTGGTGGACGGGCGCTCCCTGCGCACCATCGTCGGCCAGGTGGCGCCCCGCCACTGCGCCCTGCTGGGCCGGGCCCAGACCGAGAGCGGGCGGCAGGTGGGGTGCGGCTGTGTGCCTTTCATATTCCTCCGGGGGCAGGTGCATTGGAAGGAGCTTGGAAACAGCTGGCTGGTCAGTTTACTGCAGGGGAGCAAGGCGCATGGCTGTTTTTCCCTGGCAGTCTGGCTGCTTGTGACCCATGCCCCTCTTTCTCGACCCCGCAGGCCCTGGAGACGCTGAAACGGCAGATGGTGGACGACTTGGCGCCCCTACACGGCAAAATACATGGGCCCCTGAGCCCCGGGGAGAACCTGGACATCCCCTGTGCGCCCAGCGTCCGGTGAGTGGCGTGCAGGGCCAGGGATGCTCCCGCTGGATACCCTTTCTGCCCTTCCTTGTGCCGCCCCACAGCCAGTGACCCGCCTCGTGCAGGGTGGAGATGGAGGGGCGCCTGGTGGCTTCCCTGGAAACGCACGCCGTTAGCGGGTGCAAGCTGGCATGGCTGCGGGCGCGCCGGAGTGCCGCCGACCCGGTGAGTTAACGAGGGCTGCTGATGAGAATATAACCCTGATGGGAGGGTCTTTGCTGGCATAGTCTTCTCGGGTGTGGTGCTGTAGGCCAGAGGCGCTGATGGGGCAGCGCCAGGCTCCCACTCCTTGCCAACCCACCACACGAGCAGGGGTTGCTGGAGCCTGCGGAGGACGAGGCACAGCATGCGACACTTGGAGGTGTATTCATCGGCGATGTAAAGCTGTCAGGTGTGGCGCTGTGGCTGCCATTCCGACCCCAAGCGACTGCATCGATTGAATTGCCTGGCCAGATTGCATAGCAACAACCCCCTTCATACCACTTGCCTGACCGCAACCGCTCCACCCCTTTTGCAGAGGTGCGCAAGGCGCTGCTGAAAGCTTCCATCCCGGCCGAATTCTCCGGCGGCGCGCTGTACTGCGAGGGGCCCCTGGTCATCAGGCGGTCGGAGGGGGAGGGCGCGGGGCTGAGCCTGGAGGGCCCCCTGTCCGAGCAGTACCACCGCGTGCAGCAGGTCATATATGCGCAGTACCACGTCTGCTGACACGGTCGGGAGAGCAGGTACCTGTGGCTATTGGCCTGTGCAAAACCTCCTCCACCTGATGTTGCACGGTGCAAGTGAGTGGGGGCACCTGCGGCGCCACAGCAATGCTGCAGGGGTCGAGACATCGTGGCAAGAGTAGGCACAAGACAGTAGCCTATGGGGTTGCTGCATAGCATCAAGATTCGCGATTTGGGGGAAGTGATACAAGGCAGGGCGGGTGGGATGGTTCCGCGCTGTGCATCAATTGAGGTGGTGGGCAGTACAGGTCCCTGCCTCGTAAGCTGCGAGTCAACTCTCAGAGGATGTCAGGAGGATGCGGTCTGAGCGTACACATCCTCCAGATCCTCACGGGCCTCGTCGGGCACAGGTGCAAACTCCAGGCCGCTGGTCCACGTCAGCGAGCACCACAGGTCGGGTGCTGATGGGGAAGGAAGGGCGGCAGGGAGCAGCTGACACACCGGTGTCCCTGCCACCCCTTGGCCGGCGTGCGGACAAGCGTCGGCAGAGGGAGGCTCCGGACGCGGCCCAGGCCCCGACTCCGCCACTCCCTCCTGCGTGACCTCGCCGGCGGGTCCAAGCCTGCGCAGGGCCCTCTCCCTGGCGTTGGGGGGGGTGCATGGCGACTGCGCCGAGTCCTCGAACGCCTGGTACCCCGTGCACGGGGCCTGGCCTACCGGCAGATGCCCAGCAGGCAGCGCGGCACCCAGGTCCTCGTCGAGGCAGTGCTCGGAGCTGGAGCAGGCGGCGGCGCCGTCGCCGCTCCTCCGCTTCTGGCCGTGCCTCCGCTTGTATGCCGCCTGGCGCAGCACCTTGAACTCCTCGGTCAGGGGCTCGGTGGGGTTGTGGAAGTGGTGGTCGACCAGCCGGTCCAGACGCCAGAGAATCGCAGGCCAGATGTCCTGCGGTTGGGTTGGGGAAGATACTCGTATCATCATGTGCTGCCCATGCCAGCAGGCAAGGGCTTAATGAGAGCACTTTCTTCTGGTGCAAAATGTCCAACAGCAATGCCAGTAGATGTTCATCCTCCCAGTACTACGCAATGAGTGGCTTCATAGCCCCGCATCTCGCCCTGACGAACTGACTACTCATTTGGCATACCTGACATCACCCGGCATCAACGCAACCCTTGGGTGGCGCTTCCTGACGTGGCGCAGCCTGAATCCCGTGCCCTCACGAACCTCAGCTACCCAGCTTGTCATGTGACTCACCGGGTGCACAGAGTCTGGCTCCTTCTGGATGGCGTACAGCAGGCTCCGGACCGACTTGATCTTGCGGTATGGCCAGCCCCGCATGCCCAGCTCCCTACAGGCTGACTTGAAGCGGGTGTTACCCACATTCAGGGCGGCTGCTGCACGCTCCTGGCTGAGGTGTGCCACACGCTTGAGGTCTTCCAGAGTCACCTGGCGCTCCCCGCTGCCCCGATGGGTCCTGCGGGGGGAGGGGGGTCGGGTGGGTGGGGCAGGGGTTTGCAGGGATCAGGCCAGGCGGCTGAGCCAGGATCGACCTCGACCCCTCGCCGAAATTTGAGCCCGCTGGTGCATGCGGCGGGCCGCTCGCCGGCATGCGAACCCCTTACGACCTGCCAGAACGCCTCAGCATTGGCTGAGGAGGGCAGACCGTGCGCACCTGATGGAAACCATAGGGACGGCGTCTTCCGCGCCCTCGGAAGAGCAAGTGCTGTGTGTGGTAAGCTTGGCAGACATGGCGATGCAGGGCAGCGCCCCGAGCAGCGCAAAACTCAAAGATTATCTCGGAGTGTTCGGACCCCCTCCTCCGGAAGTACGGAGGAAGGGAGACGAGTGGTCACAAATGATGCTTGCGCAGACATGCCGGCCTTGCAGCGAGCCTGAGGCCCCTCAGGCAATCTGTTGCACGTTTTACGAACCAACAGAACATGCAGCAGTGATTATTGGATTGGTCGCAGCCCCATGTGGACCTAGCGAGGGTTCAACATCGCATCAGGTCAGAGCTGTCTGGAGCATCTCTTTGAGCGGGCTCGGAGGCAGTCCGCGCAGCCGGAGGGGGGGGGTCACGTCGTCGTCGACAGCGTTCAATTCATAATTGAATGCTAGATGGTGCCCTGCATGCGCGCTGGAACCCTCCTGTGGTTGGAAGGGCTTCTTGAGCCTGAGTCGCCACTTAAACCTGGATTTCGAGTTCGTACAACTGGCTCACCCATGGCGGCGCTTGCTTCCTTGCAGGGATAATTTTGTAGGGTTTAGGTGGATCACCTGATTTCTGTATGGCATGGAAAACACGGTGGCCCCCGATGGTCATTTTACATTTGAAACTGCACTCCATGAATTCGAATTTCCGTCCGGTCCGGAGCTGACGTGCGAGCACTGACGCGGAGATAGGGCCCACAAGGAGTACGGGCTGCCGGGGGTTCCGAATCCAGAGCGTCGGCCCTCGCCCCTGCCATGTCTATCATGAGGTGGTCGAGCAAGCGGACACCTCAACCCTCCATCACGATGAGAGCCTCATCGGTCAGTGGTGTTGTCCGACACGTGAGAATCGTGTTGCCTGGGTCCGCCACCACCCCATCCTCCATGTCCAGCACTGCCCCGCACTGGAGCCGGACCGCACATCGCCTGCAGTTCCCGCTGCGACAGGCAGACGGGATGGGGAGCGCGGCATCCTCGGCCGCCCCCAGGATCGTCTGTCCCGCAGCCACCTGGAGGGCGGTCTCCACCCCTGGCCCTCGCTGCACTCGGATGCTGCGCGCCGCGGCCTGCAGTCCTCTCCCGGCAAAATCGAATCCGGATCCCTCTGCAAGGCTGGAGAACGCCTCCTTGGCGATGCTGGTCGCGGGGACGCCCTGGTCCAGCAGGACCCGCTCCACCAGCTCCAGCCAGCCAGTGGGGCCACACAGGTAGTAGCTCCAGGCCTGGCACGTTGAAGGCTGCCCCGTTTTCATGCCCCCGACCTGCCCACTCGTCCTCTGCAGAAAGCCAGCCACGTCCACGGGGCTCAATCGCCCGCTGGTGGCCGAGTAGTGGGTGTGCTCGTGCAGGAAAGCGCCGCCAGTCAGCCCGCCGGCGGCCTGCAGTGCCGCAGTGCGGCATCCAAACACCTCTTCCTCTGCGTCACGGTGGCAACCCAGCAGCGCAACGGCCTGGCCGAGCTGCAGCGCCGTTTCCAGCATGGGCAGCAGGGGGGCGAGCCCGCTGCCTGCTCCCATGAATATGTGCACGGGGGTTGATGCAGCGTTGATCCTGCCGTGTAGGGTGTTTTGGGGCGGGTCAGATCGGAGCTGTCTGTGTGGCGGCATGTGCACACTCTGTGGCGCCCATGCTGGCAACAAGAACCCTTCTAGCAGACTCTCAGACGTCAGCATGATGCAACTTCCCTTGTGGCCCATGAACCTCCCGCCCCTGACTGGAACGAGGACCACGCCACCCCATGCACCTGTCTCTAGAGGTTCCACTGGGTGGCATTACCGCGGGCTCCGAACTCCGACCTAGGGGCTTGCATGCTGCAGCACCCCTCAGTAAAAAGTCGCCCTGTGGCGCCAGGCCATGCACGGTTGACCCCGGCTGCAGGGTGTCCAGGAGCCAGGGGGAAGCCACCCCCCCGGCGACGCGCTTGATGGTGACCGACAGCTTTGGCAGGGCGAGGGGGAGGGAGGAGATTGAGTAGGACCTCCTCACCTCCACTCTGTCTTTTTGTGAATGGGAGGCGGGTCCGTCTGAGTTTGAGCCATGCATGGGGCCTGGGCGGCAGTCGCTTATGTTCAGGAGCAGTGGTGCAGGACTTACATTGAGATTGACCCCTCGAACAACTGAGCACCCCTCCTCTACTCGCACCTGTCGATCGCCATGAGCAGGGTGATGTACTGGCCTGGTAGGAAAGTAGGGAAGGGGCAGCCTGCAGGGGTCTCAAATGTCAGCGTCGCCGCGCTCCGACCCTCCGCCTCTTTTGATACCAGTCTAAGGGGGATCGCATCTGCTGGCCAAACTGGCAGGCCCCACCCTGAGAATATGAAATTGGGGCTGAGTTGGGTGGCCCCTCAATATGAAGAATAAGGCATTGCCTACACGTCATGCCACACCCTCTGGATGCGTGCATGGCCTTTGGCAGCCTCTTCTCCCGTCAGCGGTCCCTCACCTGGCTGACGCATGCAGCGACGCATGGCGAGCAGGGCAGCCAGGCACCCCAGGCGCGGATGTAAGATGAGGCCTGCGGCCATCACCCCACCCGCCATGGCACCAGCCAGACCAAAGACATTGGCGTCGCAGCCTTGCGATGCGATGGTAATGGAGGGTGACGAAAGCGATGGACTGCATGGCTAAGGTTCTCATGTCCGAGGCAGAGGGCGATGGATCCAGGCAAGCTCTTGGGGTCGATGCATGGGCTCACATGTAGATGGTGGGCACTGACCCATAGTGGCACAACACAATGGACCCCAACCCATCTGTAAGTGGCCGAGGATTCAAGGCACACGCGGCTTCGCATCCCCTGTACTTGACACACTGACGCATCAACGACCACACACCGGCAAGCCACAGGTTCTCCACAGACGTCCGAGGCTGAAGAGCCGCTTCGGCCTCCAATCTCTGCCCGGTCGGAGGGACGCCATACATGGTACCGCCTGGCCAGCCGCAGAAAGAGTTCCAGGTGACGGGCGTCCCAACCTGGCAGGTATGCGCCAGGGTGGAAGGGTGGAATGGCTGATCTCTGGTGCTGCACTGGCCTGATGTGCTGGGGAACATGGTACTGGGAGCACATCGACCCTATAAGGCAATAATTGAGAGGTGAGTGGACTGTCACGCAACTCTGCCCATTCCCCTTCTAGACCCACCTCCGAGAAGATGACGTGGTCCTTGAGCCCAGGTACAAACTGGTCCACAAAGTCCAGGGCATCCGCCACGATGTTCTTCTTGACCTGGTAGAATGTGGTTGGTGAGGACCAGGTAAAGGTTGTGCATTCCAGCTACCACGTTCGTCAACTCCCAGGTCTAGGGGCCGCACAAGCATTCATGAAGCATTCATACTTTGTGTACGATCAGCCAAACTACACTGCAAACATCCAAAATTATCAAGCGCTCAGGAAGACCTCATTGGCGAGTTCCCAAACCATCACCTGCACCTGTGATACTCTTTCCCAGGACTGCCCACCTGCACATAATCCTGCCTTCCATCTGCATCATTCCGCTCCTCCCACCCCATGAAGTACGCGGGATCCGTGAACAGGCACACCTCCAGGCTGTGCGCATGGCCGGCATATCTTTCCTTGAGCGCGGAGCAGCTGAGGAAGGCGTAAGTGACCTCGCGAACCTGAGCCAGTGGTTCGTGGGAGAAAAGTGTGCAGAGCCAGTTGATGGTGCCAAGAACAGTTGATTTGACAGGGACACGCCAGACTTCTGCACTTTCGCCAGCAAGGGGCTCCTCTATACCTGCCATGCGAGCACGCCGGCTTGGATTCCCGTCTTCCCCTTCCAAACACTTCCTCACCCAGCCAGTGCTCCCTCATTCATTTCCGCGCACACACCTTGGGATCATAAAGCCGGGCCTGCGAATGGCGGTAGTCTGCAGAGATCCAGCGGTTTTCGCCGTGCATGCCGTACAGCTCCCGCGGTGAGGCGTCCAGACCCAGCCAGATCGAGATCACGGCATGCCCGGCATGCTGGAGCCTGGTGTCTGCCAAGCAATCGTGCAGTGGGTGTGGCAGCAGGGTCCTGAAGGTATTGTATGCCCCGACCGCTGGGGAGGGTGCGGGAGTGGGGCAATGTTAAGGCGGCAGACGCTGTCAGCTCGTGAGGATGGTTGGATGAACACGTGTGGATAAGCTGCTGGACCAGAGGCATTAAAAGCGCTGTTTCCAAGGACTGTGTTGACCTGCGACTGCCCTCAGTAAATCGCCTCGAACAACCCCCCCCCAGTCTTTCCCACATGTCCAGCACGCGGCAGCGCACACCTGAGATGATGTGCCGGCCCCGGTACACGCCCTCCTTTCCTCCCCGCACCGCCCGGACACCCACGGCCCTCCCTGCCTCGTCCAGGACGATCTGTGTGACCCTGGTGGAGAGCAGGATCTCCCCACCCTTGGCTCTGATGAGGGCCAGTGCGCCCTTGGCCAGGGCTCGAGACCCCAGGCGCGGGTAGTATGTGCCTGTTCAGCATGGACAGGGGTTGAGTGAGTGGAGAAATTGTGCTGACCAGTCAGGAGCATGTCAGGCATGACCAAGCCGAAGCCGGTGCAGAGCCAAGAGAACCAGCCGTGTGGCCCCCTCCGATGCGACTTGCGCACCCTCAAAGTTGTTGCCCGCCACCAGGGCATGCTGCATGAAGGTCACCAAGTCGGGCCTGATCCCATAGTCGCCCCACAGCGCGCACAGCACGCCAATCAGCCGCCTGTCTCTGAAGGCGCCGTCCATGTACTGCTGGCAGGTCTGCTGGGCAAAGGCGCGCCGCCTGGGAGCCGTACACGTCGCCAGGATGCTGCTGAAGGGCCGGCCCATGCTCCTCGACAGGAAGTAGAAGCGGTACCAGCTGTACACCCGCTTGATGTCGCGAAAGTAACGCCGAATGGCCTGTGTGGTGGCAGGCAGAGGGTGTGGTGACCCTGGTGTACCCCCTTGCCGGCTGCCGGCCCTGCCTGTGGCAAGGAGGGACTCCATGCCGCTCTGCATGCCCACCGGCCTCCTCGCCTTCTGCTCAGCGGGGAAGGATTCGATGAGGCGCTCCATCCAGCGTTTGGCGCCAGTGGGCTGCGAGAACTGGGCGCCATCCGACTTGAAGCAGAACATGTCAAAGGTGTCGGGGAGGGGGTCCCAGACGACGCCCCCAGTCACAAAGTCCATGAATTCGCGCATGGCATCCCCCTCCCCCATCTGGCCCACGTAGTGGGTGCCGCAGGTGAACCAGTGGCCTCCGGGGCGTCGAAACTGATGGGTCATGCCTGGAAAGCAGCGGCAATGGGGACGAAGGCTGGTGGGCCTGGCGGAGGACAGGCACTCCTAATGCCCTCCACCCTCAACAAGGCCCCCCATCCCGAGCCAGAAACCCACCGCCAGGTATCCAGTGCTGTTCCAGGATCAGGCAACGCATGCCAGCGAGCTGGGCGAGGGTCGACGCCGCGCCCAGCCCTCCCAGGCCCGACCCGATGATGATGGCATCCCAGGGCTTCTCCTGGGGCTGGGGGCAGCTCGCAGCAGTCACAGCGACGGCAGCACCCCCTGCAAACTTCATTATGGTCTCATGGAGGTATTTCTGGAATGCTGGGTCGGTGTCCGACCCCTACGGAATGCTATTGCGAGTATTCGACCGTTCGTCTATGCACAGATCGCCGGCAAAGCACTCGCAGCACGACTTCGAAAACCTTTCCCACCGGGCCATCGATCTCGCACCCGCTGTAACAGGAGCAGGGATGGTCTAGGGATCAAGGATAGCATACGTCAATTTCAAACTGAAAGTCGAACTTGTGTCACAGCATCTGGCCTGGATCGGTCGGGCCCGTTCGCCGAGGTCTGGACCTGCGACACTCGAAAGCATGCACGCGGTTTGCTACAGCTTCCAATAGGAATGTCGATCCTCGATTCGTTCAGCGAGGCCTGTGTGCGACAGGAAGCCTGCTCGGATGGCCGCTCCCTGCCGTGGCTCCGAGGCCTGCTGTCCTACAGCAGGACTGGCAAGCTGTGAGTTGTGGCTCCATGTGCTGTCTCCCACGCATTGTATCCCGTTGAGTGCCTGGGGGACCTTTCCCCTGCAGTACAGAAGGCCGAAGACCTGGCCTCATCAGCATGCAGCATCACAGGCCCCAAGCTCCCCGTGCTGCAGGGTCGCCGCGGCACAGGATGGGGGACTCCTGCTGGGCGACGTGAGGGAGGAGCTGGCGGTCCAGGCGGGCCAGGCCCACCGCGACCCCGCCGGCCCCCACGCTGCCGTGCACCTGCACCCCCACCCGGCCCTGGGCGTGGATGTGCAGCACCTCTCCTGCAGCCCCTGCGGGACGCTGGCCGCGGTGGCGGGCACCTCCCGCGAGACCCCGGAGCTGAGCGAGCTGTGGGCCGTCAGCCTGCACGCCCCCGCCGCCCCCCGCGCTGGCTCGGCGACGCCCCCGCCGGCCTCCGCGGTGGCCGTCGACCGGGGTCTGTTCGCCGCGCGCCCGGGCCTCCGCGTGCTGCAGCTCGCCTGGCACCCGCTCGGCGACGGGCACCTGGCGGTGCTCACGTCGGACGCCGCCTGGCGCCTCTACTGCCTGGACGAGCCGAGCGTGCCGGAGCAGACTCTGGAGCTCAGCCTGGGCAGCAGGTGTGCTTCGAGCGCTGAGTGGACAGGGGATCAGGCAAGGGCCTGTGTACTGGCGCGCCCCTGCATGGCTGGGCCGCTGTGGCGGCTGCCGCCACAGCGCTGGCAGACAGCCACACCCCTCTCCCAACATGGCATCAATCAGTGCACGCACTTTGCCTGCCTGCAGCCGATTCCTGGATCTCAACCCCATTCATTCGCTCCCTCCTTCCCATGCCAGGCATGCTCTGGGGCTAGGAGGTTCGGCGGAGCGCCCGACAGCCTTTGCGTTTGGCCCTGCAGAGGCCTGGGACAGGTTTGCGCTCTACTTCCTCTCCAACCGCAGCAACATCTTCCGCGTCTGCCCCGTGGTGCCATTCGGTGGGTGCGGTGCTCCATCTGAATGTGGTGCCGATGTGTGGGTGCAGGTGCCGCCTGGGTGGTGACCCGGGGTTGCGGTGCCGCTCCTGTCCTGGGTTTCGAGTCTCAGGCCGTGTCCCGATTTCACCCGAGTGTTTTGATGAGTGTTTTGCTGGGGCTGGGGTTGACCAGTGCCCCTGCTGCATCAGGCACGTGCGGCCATGGGTGTGTTGCCCCAGCCTGCATCACCGCAAGGTCACCATTCCCCCCGTGCCGGCAACCCACCAGGTTGTCGGGTGCCCTCCGCCAGCCTGGCGGCCCTGGGGGAGGACCTCGGCGAGGCTGACGAGGCCACGCACTCCTGGCTGCAGCGTGCCTTTGCTGCGGGGACCCGGTCCGGGGTCGCAATGGCGCAGCGCCACGCCCTGGGCGCCCACGTGCCGGTCCTGGTGGGGCCGCTGAGGGTCGCGACCCCGGGGGAGGGCCCCCTGCCGGCCGGGTTCGCCGGCCTCTGGGGCGATTCCGGCGCCGTGGCCGAGGACCTGCTGCTCGCCAGGTTTGCGCCGGGGTGCAGCGCAATCTGCGTTGCCGCCGCGAGCGGCGGGGTCGCGGCGGGCGTGCTCGCCAGCCCCGCGCGCCCCGCCTGGCAGGAGGGCCGGCCCCAGTGCCTGGCGGGCCCCGGCGGCCGTCTGGACGCGGTGCGGTCGCAGCTGGGGCCTGGGACTGCGGACCCCGGCCAGGGGCCGGGCCTGCTGGTGCTGGACCTGGTGCGCCTGCATGCCGACGGGCCCCAGTCACACGATTCGCGCGAAGAGGGGGAGCCCGCCGGGCGGAGCGTGCGCCTGCTGGGCGACCCCGCCGCCCGAGAACGCGTCCACGTGCTGCTACGCGGCGGCGGCTGCTTCGCGCTGGACCTGGCCTGGCTGCCGCGCCTGGCGGCGGACGCGGGTGGCGAGGCTGGGGCGGCGCCGGGCGAGGCGCTGCCCGCGCTGGGCGTGCGGCGCCTGGCCGGGGCCGGCGCGGGCGGCACCGCCGACGCTTGCGTCGTGGGCGACGCGCTGGTGGGGACGGGCCTGGTGCTGGTGGGGTGCGATGGAGGGGCCCGTCTGCTGAGGACGGGGGGCGAGGGGGAGTCGGGGCGGGGCGGGGGAGGTGGCGAGGCTGGCGATGGCAGCCTGGCCCCGCAGCCTGGCGCCGGGAGGGCCGGCGTCGACGGCCCCGCCTGCCAGCCCGACGCCCAGTCTCCGCTGGAGGAGGTGATTGGGGGCCCACGAGCGGCGAAGCTGCCCCTGCCAATCGGCGACGCAGCGGCGCCCGAGGCGTGCCAGCGGGGCCTGGCGGCCGCGGCGGCCGCGCTGCGCGCCGGCGGGGGCCACGTGGAATTTGCGCACCAGGCCCACCACGATATCATGCAGGCACGGGGTGGTGTGGGAGGAGACAAGGGGGGTGGGACACGCCTCCGGCGCCGGCGGGCGCGGGGCCTGCCCGGTTGGACCGATCGCCCGCCGCTGCTGCCGGGGGGAAGCACCGAGCGCGCAGTCGTTCGGTGTTCCCTGACGAGATGTCCGTTCGCACACCTGCATGACCGCGCCAACCTTCCATGGGCCCGCCCCCCCTCCCAAATAGGCGCTGGCGGCGCTGCCGGGCGAGGCGGAAGCCCAGTGGGAGAGGGTGGGAGCGTTGCGCGAGGCGCTGGCGGGCTGCGAGGCGCGCGCCGCGGCGCTGACTCAGCGCGCGGATGCCGCGCTGCGCCTGCAGGACGTGCTGAACGAGCGCTGCGCGCTGCTGGCGGCGCTGCACTGGCGCGCGGGCGCGTGCGGGTCGCGCGCCGACGCCGCCTTCGAACGGCACGCGCTGCCGCGGCTGGAGGCGGGGGCGGCGGGGGCGCGGAGGGAGGCCGACGCGCTGGCGGCGCGCGGGGCGGCGTTGGCTCGGCGCGGCGTCGGCACCAGCCAGGCCGCGCTGGCGGTCACCCCGCCCCTCATCGGCCACTACCAGCTGCGGCGGCTGCGGGAGGGGCTGGCGCGGCAGGAGGCGGGCCTCTCCGGCATGCTGGCCGGGCTGGGGGCGCTGGAGCGGGCGCTGGCGCAGGCCGGCGCCTGAGGTGGGGAGTGGAAGGGGGGTGGGAGGTGGGGGACCTCAGACCCACGCGGCTCCGCACCGAGCCTTCTTGGCCCCAGTCGCCGGTGTGCTGCTGGCTGTAAGAGTGTGCATGAGCACGGTCACAGGCAGGAGATCTAAAGAGGGTGACTGCACGCGAAGTGCCCCACCTGGTGGAGCAGGTGCCCTGGCTCCAGGGAAAACGTGATCATTCCGGGTGAGAAGCACCTGCTCCGGAAGGGTGGCGTTCCCGGATCCAGGGCCCCGCCGGCCCCCGAAAGACTCCGGCTTTGGGAAGATGTGGTGTCAGCGACACGTTTGGGTGGCCAAAGCGATGGCTCGACCGCCCAGGATCGCAGCACCTCGTTTCGGGCGGGGTGGCTGGAACCCACCACGAAACCGTTCATGCACTTTCCGGGGTCGGATGGAGCCGCCCCCTTATCAAACAGCATCCGCATGCCCCCCGATGAGCCGACGCCACCAGTACATTAGCCGTGCGCACCCCCCCCCTCGCCCTTATCCCGGACTCCCCAGCCCTTTTGCACCTCCGCCCTCCCCCCTCCCACGACTGGCCACCCTCTCCATCTACGCCTCTGCGGCCGTGTGCCTGCCCGTGGGCCGCACTGCCAGCACCACCCGCAGCCAGCCTCGCGTGGTCTCCAGGCGCGCTCCTTTTGTCAGCAATGGCAACATCAAGCGCACCACCGCCATGCTGGTGCGTCATGCGGGGTAGAGGCCGCGATGCCCTCATCCGGGGCCACCCCAATCCATTCCCATCTCGTTTGCTCATGCCCATGCTGACGCCCACCCCGCCCCCTCCCGACGCAGGTGTGGACCCCCACCAACAACAAGTGAGTCGATCATTGAAACTCGTGGAGCACTTGCGGCGTTGCCGTCGTTGGGGCATGGGAGGGTCTCGGTCTCGACCTAGGCGGGCCGTTGCGGATATGGTTTGGCAGTACTCGGACATGGCGTCGCGCACCATGCGCGGTTGCCCCGGGCTCCTCCCACCCTATGCTTTATCCACACACATGATCCTCATGGCCTGCCCCCCGTGCGCTCATCGCCTCGAACCTGTACCGGCGCTCATGACTTCACCCCCCCTCCGTGCCCCGGAACAGGATGTTCGAGACCTTCTCGTTCCTGCCCCCCCTGTCCGACGACCAGATCTCCCGCCAGGTCGACTACATCATCTCCAACAAGTGGATCCCCTGCCTGGAATTCATCGACGACCCTTTCCCGTACGTGGCGCAGGAGAACACCATCCGCATGGGTGCCGTGGCCTCCAACTACTACGATAACCGCTACTGGACCATGTGGAAGCTGCCCATGTTCGGGTGCAACGACGGCAGCCAGGTGCTGACCGAGGTGGGCAACTGCCGCAAGGCCTTCCCCGATGCGTACATTCGTCTGGTCGCCTTCGACAACGTCCGCCAGGTGCAGATTGGCGGGTTCCTTGTCCACAGGCCCCCCTCCGCCAACGACTTCCAGCCCACCGACAAGCGCTCCGTGTGAGGAGGCTCGGGCCCCACGCCCTCTGGGGTCCGCCGCTCAATGAGCCGCCGCCCTGGGGCAACCGCTGCCGGTCTGGACCCTGAATTCTTTGGGCATGCAGCCCCATGGACTTGTAAGCACCATCCCACCTGGCCTTCAGACTGTTATTTTGCCGAGTTGATGACGTTAATAATCGGGTGTGAATGTCCGGGTCAGTTACAGCAGGGCAGCAGTCCAGGGTAAGGGCAGACCTCGGCGTGGCTAGGCTGGTGACTGGGTGAGGAGGCACAGGGCTGTTCAGCGAGGTTACAGGCACACCAGTGGGATGGAGTAGTCCCAACCGTCAAGTGCTTCTTGTCAGCAGACACACGAGTGTGCACACCGTCGCCACTGCTAGCCAACAGAGCGCAGCGTGTTTGCCTCGGTGTCTTCGGACTCCTCGGGCGTGGGCCTCACGTCCGGGAACTCCTCCAGACCGGGGGAGGATCCAAGGAAGCAGCGGGGAGTGTTGTGCACCCGAATTGCGTCCCTGTGCGACGCATTGTGAGCAAAGGATTCAGCATCCGAGGCCCTGTACTCTTTCATGACGACTATGGTCTCCCACTCCATGACCTGAGCAGGGAGCTATGCATCCCCTTCACCTACGCTGCCGCTCCCTTTTGCGCGCGTCGTCCAAACCTGCTCAGTATCCCAGGTCACACCCCTCGGCCGGGACCCCCAACCGCACCTGAGCCGCTGGACCTTGGAGACGGAGGCAGAGAATGCGTCCACCCGGCCCTCTGCACCACGATACAAGTGGAAGAAAGGGAGCACCTTGACTCCAACTCCCCTGGCCAGCGCCTTGTTCTCATCAAAGTTGATGGCCAGGAAGATGACGTCCTTGTTGGCCTCTGCCAGCAGCACGACCTGGGCTAAGGTGGGGGTCGGCGGCGCTGACTGCATGGCGGCGATCGGCATAGATGAGGCTCCCAAGCCTCCAGGCAGGGGCAACCCATGTCGATAGATCTGGGCCCATCCCAACCACCATCCACTCCTCGGCAGACCTTGGGGAAGAGGGCCTTGCAGGCTGCACACCAGGGCGCGAAGAAGTCCACCACCACCAGCTTCTCCTTGGCCCCCTCCAGCTCGTTCACAAACTGCTGCACGGAGTGGACATGCCGCATGTTTGGGGGGGTGGGCCGCTCGTACCATGCCTCCCGCTTGGCCATAGTGGCCCCGGCTGCTGCGCTGCTCCTCGTCATCCTGCACCGGGGTGGGGGATCAGTGGGCATGAAATCATGAAGAGGGTCGCACAAGATACCACCCGCTTGCGGTCCGTGACGACACACGCACGCACCTTAGGTTCTGAGGCGAAGGGTGGGTGCCAAAGGGTTGCCATGCCCGGCTGGTGCGTTCCAAGGACCTAGTAAGGCTATTTGGGTTGCTACATGCTGACTTTGGGAGCCTGTGCGTGGCAAATGGCGGGCAGGTGCCCGCTGCGGTCCTGGTACACGACGCCATGGAGAGGGGGTCGACACCACCGAGCTCCTGCCTCAGGGCTCCAAGGAGAAGGAGGTTCTCGGGAAGACGACAACCACCAGGACTTTAAAGGACCAGGGAATATCGCTTGTGCATGTGCATTGACGCGAGAGCTTGAATGGTCGTGAGGAGGAGTTCGCGCGTTGGTCCTCCCCCGGATGATCTGAAGGGTAGATGCGGACCACCTGTCCCTGCCCTACGATTTCTTTCCCTACAGACACAAGTCCTGAGGAAGTCTCGAGCGCGCACTGTATGCTGATTGGGTTTCAGTCATGTGCACAGAGACACCAGCAAGAAGATGTTGCAGTCTGCAGCACGGCGGGACGGCTTGTGAGGCTGTGGTGGCCTGCTGGCTAGCAAAAGCTACAGGGCAGCCCCACACTCAATCCCCGCGCCGCCTCAGGACGCCAGGAGCTGCTGGATGGCCAGCACAAGGCCCACGCCGCTGGCGAGGAAGCCGAGGACCAGGACCAGCAGGGGCAGGACGACGTGCTGCGTCATCGCCGCGGCCCTGCGCGCCACGCTGGGCTCCTGCCGCACGCTGTGCACGCTGGGGTACTCCAGCGTGACAGGCCCCGGCTCCAGCCCCGCCAGCTTGTCGTCCAGGTCCGCCCAGTGCGCCAGGCTGGCCGCGTGCTCGGCCGAGGCCAGCCGCGCCGAGCCGGTGGAGGGCGCGGTGCTAGCGGGGGAGCCGGGCCGGCCCCACCCCGCCAGCGACAGCGTGGAGGCGTTGTGCTGGTTCGCGTCGGGCCCGAGGCTGGTGCCCAGCAGCGCGTGCTGCGCGCTGGGTGCCAGGTCAGGCACTGACGCGCAGCGTGCCACCGCCGAGGCGGGGCGGTAGAACAGGCGCAGGTGGAAGGCCACGGGCAGTGCATAGCAGACGACGCACACCGCCGACGCGCCCGTGACTGCGATGGGAGAGTGAGTATGATCGGTCATTCAGGGGGTGAAAGGATAAGTAGTAGGGGAGGCTGGGAGGGTTGGGGACGAGGGCATGCCGTGCAGGTAGCACGGAAACACGATCCCGCCCCAGAGACATCCCCGCTTTCTCTACATTGCAGCAAGCATCCCAGCCGCCAACCAACGCACTCGCAAACATCTTCTCGGCCGCGGTGGGGAAGCACAGCGCCACGCCCAGGGAGGAAAGCACACTCGCAGCGGTCACTTGCATCGTGTGCGCCCTGGAGGTGCGCCGCCCCGGTCCGAGGATCAGCCTGATGATTTTGGAAGGAAAGGGGGGCCACTTGACCATAGCCGCTTGAGGGGGGGCATGCGGTCTTGTAGCCGGTGGAAGGCCATCCTAGCAGCGCATCTAGCCAGCAGCGAGCCGATCAGCTCACGCAGCATGGCTCCTTTCAGGCAGAAAGGGGTTGGGACGGTGCACGCCCCAGCCATGGGGCATGCGCCATGCCTTGCGGGGACAGTGCATCGTCGGGCTCGCACGTGCTGAGCGGTGGGGATGCATCCCGACCATGCCGCACACACCCCAGCATCTCTTCCCCCTCCCACAACCCTCTCTCCCCCGCGCGCTCCCCTCTGCACTCACGCGTCCAGCTGCAGGCGCAGGGTGAGGACGATGGGGACCATGGAGAGGGCGAGGTAGAGCGCCATGCCCGCGTCCAGCGCGCCATCCCACGCCCCGCCCAGCCACTCGTTGACCAGCACGTCGCCGCCGGTGGCGAGGCCGTAGCGCGCGGCGGCAAACACGCCGATGACGGAGTAGATGGCCAGGGCCACGCCCGAGGTGACCAGCTGATTGGCGCGCGCGGTCAGCGCCACGCCGCGCGCGCCCGCCGGCATCTCTGCCAGCATGGGCAGCAGCATGGGGTGGACGTAGAAGGCAAAGGAGAGCACGCCGATCGCCTCGGGCAGGTCGGGGGTGAGCCGGACGTGGAAGAGGTCCAGCTCGCCGGAGCGGACGGCGGGGAAGTCGTCAGCCACGCAGCGGCGGATGATGATGACGGTCAGGACGCCGACGAGTGCCACCCCTGCTGCTGCGGCCTGCTCCAGCTGTGTGGTCATTGGTGTATTGGGGGAGTGAGTATGCTTGAGGAGATGAATGGGGAGAATCGGGAAAGGAAGTTAGGGCTGGATACTGAACAGCTCAGGGCCTGCGAAGGCTGTGGCAGAATGCATGGTCGGAGACTCGAGGGAGGGCCAGGTAAGGCAGTGGAATGGGCAAGGGGCGGACCAGGAGGACGGCGCCCAGGTGATGCAACAGTGCTTGCAGATCGACATGCCCCATCTCCCGCAGCTCACTCTCCCAGAAAGGCACGCCACGCGCAGGCTCGAGGGGCAGAAGCCCTCACTTTCATCCCCCTGGAGCGGCCTCCCTCCTCTCCCCACACACCGCTTCCCTCCTGTCCGGCAGTCCCCCACCCTCCTCACACCTTCCGAATGTGCTTGAGGCAGCTGAGGGGGAGGACCAGGCCCAGGCCCAGCAGGGCCACGATGACCCGGCCCTGGCCGGCCAGCAGCCAGTGGGGCGCGGCAGACCCCGCCAGCTTGCCCACCGCCAGGCGCCCCGTGTCAGCCACCAGCGCAAAGTCGCCGCAGAGCGTGCCGAACAGCAGCAGGACGAGCCAGGACTGGGTGAAGGCGCGCCAGCGCGGGCCCCCCAGCGTCTCGGCCAGTGCCTCGTAGCTGCTGGTCCCGCAGGCGCCCGCCGCACGCACCAGCAGCGTCCCGGTCAGCGAGTTGGCCAGGGAGACCGCCAGCGCGGTGAGCAGGCCCAGCAGCACGCCCGTGCGGCTGAACGCGTATGGGACGGGCAGCACCGAGCTGTGTGTGGAAGGTGGGAGGGGGTAGGGGATGGACGACAGCGCAAGGGCCATGGAAGGATGCGTCAGGACCCGTGAACCCCCTGTCCGCCAGGCTGGGGCCTCGCTGGAGCTGCGGCATCGCCATGCCAAACACTCGGGGCCAGGCCAGGGGCACAACCGAGCTTCACACGCAGGTCCAAGGCAGGAACTCGGGCTGGCCAGGGGATCTCAGAGCCAGGCATGATCAGTCTCCAGGAAACACCTTCCCACTCGCGCACACAGCACTCCGCAGTCACCTTCCCAGGATTGAGAGGGTTAGGGTGATCAAGGCGGAGGTGAAGGCCCTGCTAGAGCTCTCAGCTCTGGGGTGAGGCCAGTGTTCGAGGACGACCTCCGGCATGATGGCTTCCTGCTCCGCGGGTGACCGCCTGGGCCACTGGGCTGGAACCCAGGACGTGGCGGAGCGAGGGGCCGTCCTGAAGCCCAATCTAAGCTATACTGTGGCCTGGCTATGGGAGGCGGACTGCTGGGAGGCCCACACAATGCACTAGGGTGCCCACCAAATGTTATGCATGCCGGCATCCCTGCACACATTTCCGACAGTGCTTGAACTTTCCCGCCAGGACCCCGTGGCAACCTTTTGAGCAAGAGTTCTTTCACGATGTAGCTGGACCTCTAGCCGACATACCGCGATCGCATGATGCATAATGCATCTGCAGGACACAATGCATGGAACTGAGGCCGCTATGGTGGACTGTGTCTGGTTGTTAACCAGAACTCGAAGTTTGTGGTAGCCGCGATGGCGCAGGAACTCGCGAGCCAGCCCACAGAGGCTGGCGATGGGCGCGATCCAGCGCCGATGAAGGATTCTTGGGTGCAGTGCGACAGATGCGAGAAGTGGAGGAGGATCCCTGCCGCTGTGGCCGAGAGACTGGACGAGGAGACACCATGGTGTGCAGTCAGGGAGGGCCGCAGAGCGCATGCTGGGGCGCTGGGAAACGCTTCATGCGCCAATCTAACTCGTCTTTCCGCTTTCCAAATGCAATCACCCCCTCACGCCTTTGCAGGTACTGCGAACTGAACACCGGGAAATTAAACAGTTGTGCCATGCCCCAGGAGCTCTCCGATGCTGAGATTGACGAGAACAACACGCCTGCAGTGAGTGGGGCAGAGAGCTGCTGTGGGCCTAAACAGTGCTTCATGATGTGTCTTGTGTGAGGCAGCTGTCTGGAGTGAGACTGGAATCATTTGCTCGAGCCTCAGCCCACGTCCCGATCTGTAAAGCCCCTCCTCGGCACTTTCTACACACTCCCCGCTGCCTCCCTCATCGCCCCAGGACGCGCAGTCGGCGCTGTCGCCCCGTGCGACCAAGGCCCCGCTGGCCTCCCACCCTCCCGTCTGGCAGCTGATCGCCGAGAAGATCTACACCCACCGTCCCCGGCGGGTGCAGGAGGAGGATGACATCATGATCTGCCAGTGCAAGCACATCTGGCCCTCGGACACCACCAGCATCGGCTGCGGGGAGCACTGCCTGAACCGCATGCTCAACATCGAATGCGTGGCGGTGAGTGGGGAGCTGCCGGCCATGAGTCACGGGGTTGGCCAGGGCGCCGCATGCCTCGTCCCTCACATGCGCATGCAGCGCATGGGAGTCCTGTGGGAGCCACGGCATGGGTGATGGGTGGCGAGATTCCTGGCCGCGGTGCCACACCATGCATGCATGCATGTGCCGGGAGGGGTTTGGCACATGTCACGGACTGGCTCCCCTTGCCGCCCACCCGCCGCTGCCCACCTGTCCACGCCACGACCTTCCCGTCCAGGAGTACTGCCCCTGCGGCGACCGCTGCACCAACCAGCAGTTCACCAAGCGGGAGTATGCCGCGCTGGACGTCCTGCGTGCCGGGGCCAAGGGCTTCGGCCTCTTCACGCGCGACGGCGTGCGCGCCGGCCAGTTCATCGTCGAGTACGTGGGCGAGGTGCTGGAGGAGGACGAGTACCAGCGTCGCAAGGAGTACTACATCGCCTCCAACCAGCGCCACTACTACTTCATGAACATCGGCAACGGGGAGGTCATCGACGCCTGCCGCAGGGTGGGCAAAGTTTCTAGGGGTTTTGGGGGGTGGGTGGGCAGGGCGCCTTGGTCTGAAGAGGCGGCCGAATGGGGGTGTCCAGACCAGTGAGTGTCCTGGTCAGCGAGTTCTGGATCGGGAGCGCCGAGACTCGGAGCTGGGTGCCATGGGGCCTGAGACCCTCTGCCAGTCGTCGCAGTGACATGCTTCATGCAGCGCCCGAACCCCCCCTCCCCCCCCTCCCCCTCCTTCCTACCTACAGGGCGGGCAGGGCCGCTTCATCAACCACTCCTGCGACCCCAACTGCGAGACCCAGAAGTGGCTGGTGGAGGGCGAGCTCTCGATCGGCCTCTTTGCCATCAAGGACGTGCCCCCCGGCGGAGAGCTCACCTTTGACTACAACTTCGAGCGATACGGGGACAAGGTGGGCGGGCAACAGCTGCTGGGTCTGGGATTGTGTCCAGTGACGGGGGAGGAGGCAGGGGGCCATCCCCCGAGCTTGAAGGGGTGTGAGATCCTGGCTGCCAGCCGCTCCTGTTCCGAGACCCCTGTTGCCCTGACGCACACGACCCGCTGGTGTGCCGCCTGTGCACTACGTCGCTCATCCCCAGCACCTCGCTCACCTCACCCCACCCTCTCGTGCCAGCCCATGGCGTGCCTGTGCGGCTCGGCCAACTGCCGCGGCGTGATCGGCGGCACCCAGGAGACCGCCGTCCTGGCCCCGCCGGTGGTGGTCCCCGAGTACGAGGACGACCCCGAGCCCATCATGGTGAGCGGGGTCAAGGCCACGCCCACCCTGGAGCGCCTGCTGGACCGCATCGTGGGCGTGGGCAGCCACGCCGGGCTGACCTCGGGGGAGCGGAGCCTGTGAGTGGAGGAGGGGCCGGAGGGTGTGTTTGTGTGTGTGTGTGTGTGATGAGCAGGTGGTGTGCTCCGGCCTGGACCAAGGGCATGGGCTGTTGCGGGTCGTGCTGGGGCGCCGGGTCCTCACACGGCGGCCCAAGCCTCGTCTGGGCCACAGGAGTGGCCTCGTGCTTCTCACCGGTGCAGGGCTCCGACCCACCGAGCGCTGGCCGGCCCCCTCACCCCCATGCAGTCTCAAGCAGCTGGCGCAGCAGCGGGGCATCACCCTGGAGTCGAGCTCCGAGGACGAGGAGGAGGGCGAGGAGGTGGCGAGGCAGCACAGGGAGGTGCAGGAGCCGCCCTCGCCGCCCGCGCGCCCCGCGCCCCCCGCGCCCTCGGACAAGGAGAGCGACGTGTCAGGTGTGTTGCCCTGCATGCGCACCCCGGCGGGGCCCGATCTTCATCTGGGTCCCCGTGGATGCCTCGCCTGCCAGGCCGTCATGCGCTCACCGGCTCGCGCCATGCCCCCTCCCCCGCAGCGAGCTCGGAGGCGAGGGTGGACGGCGCGTCGTCGC